AATTTTCACCCTTGACCGAAGGAAGTTAAGTTGTGGATGTGAGATTTCCCCTCTCAGCATCTCCAGGGTCACCGTTCTCCTGTTGGGCTTGAAACAGATGGTCCTCGATTTACAATCGGTCGCTTAGCAATCTTTCAAAGACACAAGTTGCCTGAAAAAAGGACTTTTGACCTGCACTAATTCTTTTTTACAACATATGACCATAATGAGCAAACTCCATTGCAGTCATAACTCAAGGGCTTCCTGGATGTCCATGACTACAGTTGCTCACTCTTCCTACCTTGAAGTAGTAAGAGGGGGGAACCAACAGATTTAATAAAATAAAAATAAATAAATACCTTTAGAGCAGGGTCTTCAAACTTGGCCCCTTCATGACTTGTGGACTTCAACTCCCAGAATTCCTCAGCCAGCATGGGGGAACTATGGCCCCTTCATGACTTGCGGACTTCAACTCCCAGAATTCCTCAGCCAGCATGGGGGAACTATGGCCCCTTCATGATTTGTGGACTTCAACTCCCAGAATTCCTCAGCCAGCATGAGGGAACTATGGCCCCTTCATGACTTGTGGACTTCAGCTCCCAGAATTGCTCAGCCAGCATGGGGGAACTATGGCCCCTTCATGATTTGTGGACTTCAACTCCCAGAATTCCTCAGCCAGCATGAGGGAACTATGGCCCCTTCATGACTTGTGGACTTCAGCTCCCAGAATTGCTCAGCCAGCATGGGGGAACTATGGCCCCTTCATGACTTGCGGACTTCAACTCCCAGAATTCCTCAGCCAGCATGGGGGAACTATGGCCCCTTCATGATTTGTGGACTTCAGCTCCCAGAATTCCTCAGCCAGCATGGGGGAACTATGGCTGAGGAATTCTGGGAGTTGAAGTCCACCAGTCATCAAAGGGCCAAGTTTGAAGACCCCTGTTTTAGAGGGACCCCTGCCTTTGAGGGACCCCATTCTGCCAAAATCCTAACAGTGAAATGCATTATGGGATACAGATAGACCTCGACTTACAACAGTTCATTTAGTGACCCTTCGTAGTTACCTCAGCACTGAAAAAAGTGACTATTTTTCACTTACAACCATGGCAGCATCCCCATGGTTACGTGTTCAAAATTCAGACTCTTGGCAACTGCTTCATATTTATGACGGATGTGGGGTGCCAGGGTCACGTGATCCTCTTTTACGACCTTCTGACAAGCAAAGTCAATGGGGGAAGCCAGATCCACTTAACAATCATGTGACTCACCTTATCTGCAGTGATTCCCTTAACAACTGTGGCAAGACAGGTCGTAAAATGGGGCAAGCCCCACTTAATGACTGCCTCACTTTTGGCCTCAACTGTGGTCATAAGTTGAGGTAATTGAAAATAGGATATATGGTGAACCAATAAGGTGATTTTTTTTATAAAAATAACACAAGTTGGTAAGAAAAAAAAGTCACCTATGGACGCTACTATTGTTCGTACAAACGTGGAAGAAAATGTTTATATTTAATCATTTATGCCTTGGAAATATTAAAAATTATATTTGTTTAAGGCTGAAGGAGAATACTATTGGGAGAAGAAATATACTATGAATCAATATATTAATTATGGAAGTATAGAAATCAATTATGATTGACTGTTAATTAACTACTGTTGTGTGCTTTTTCTTAAAATTTTATGAACCAAGACAACACGCTGTACACCGGGCACTAAGGACTGTTATTGTAAAAAATTAATAAAACTTTTTTTTAAAAAATAAATCAAATTGTTGCTAATTGGAGCGGGGATTTGACAAGGTTGAAATCAAATGTTAAAACAACTTGAGAACATTTTTCTTCTTTTTTTCTGTTAAAACTGGACTCAGCGTCCTGCAGTTATGGGTAACCTAGAAGAGGCAGCACGTGTTTGTGGAAAAGGTGTGGGTGGTGTAGATTTCCAACAGAGATATAATGAGCCGGTTGCTCTAAGTGGGAACATTTCCTACTACGGGTGTTCTACTCGATTAGTAGAGTGTGGCATTTTCAACCCGCAGTCCGAGAACAATTCTCCTTTGGGAGATGGGACACGATTCCTCCACTAATGGAAATCAAGGCAGGCAATGTGCAGCACAATCCATTTTGCTGGAGTGCTAATTCCCTACGCTTCTGTCCTGGAACAGAGAATTGCCCAAACCTACTTCCTGGGAGTCCTATTGTAATCTGGGATAAAGGACTGTGACAAGACAGGAAGAATTGCCGGGCCAAAGTGTTTCTCAACCTCACCAACTTTATGAACTGTGGACTTCAATTCCCAGAATCCCCCAGCCGGGATGCTTTAAGAGGGGTGGACTTCAACTCCCAGAATCCCCCAGCCAGGATGCTTTAAGAGGGGTGGACTTCAACTCCCAGAATCCCCCAGCCAGCATGCTTTAAGATGAGTGGATTTAGTCTCCCAGAATCCCCCAGCCAGGATGCTTTAAGAGGGGTGGACTTCAATTCCCAGAATCCCCCAGCCAGCTTTGCTTCAAGATGGGTGGACTTCAACTCCCAGAATCCTCCAGCCAGCATGTTTTAAGAGGGGTGGACTTCAACTCCCAGGGTTCTCCAGCCAGCATGCTTTAAGATGAGTGGATTTAGTCTCCCAGAATCCCCTAGCCAGGATGCTTTAAGAGGGGTGGACTTCAATTCCCAGAATCCCCCAGCCAGCTTTGCTTCAAGATGGGTGGACTTCAACTTCCAGAATCCCCCAGGTAGCATACTTTAAGACGGGTGGACTTCAACTCCCAGAATCCCCCATCCAGCATTGCTTTAAGACGGGTGGACTTCAATTCCCAGAATTCCCTAGCCAGCCTGCTTTGTTTTAGGGTTCCCCCATGCTGGCTGGGGGAATTCTGGGAGTTGAAGTCCACAAATCTTAAAGCTACACTGGTTTGGACCAATTCTCATGAAAGATAAATTCTAATTCCAAAAGTGTATTAGAGGATCTTGGAGAGGTTTTTGGGGATGTGTGTGGAAAGGAAAGGAGATTCAGAATTACAAAAATCAGAAGGTTTAAATTCCATACAACGTGCCAGTTTCTTGGCCTGAGCAACACAAAAGCAACCACCTGGATCACAGCGAGTGGAAAACACTTTTTTGGGGGGGTTTACACAATGTAATTGTGCACACCAGTCACAGCAACTGGTTAGGAAACGACTGGGAAACTCTACAGAGGCGGCATTATCCCTTTAGCGCAGGGGTAGTCAACCTTGGCTCTTTTCTGACTCGTGGACTTCAACTCCCAGAATTCCTGAGCCAGCTAAGCTGGCTCAGGAATTCTGGGAATTGAAGTCCACGAGCCAGAAAAGAGCCAAGGTTGACTACCCCTGCTTTAGCGCCTGGAGATCAGTGGTGTCTTTAGTGGGAGCGAATTTCCACACTTGGAATGGGATCTAACTTTACAGAAAGTAACAACCACAAATAAAATAAAATTTGCCTAAAGCAGCAGGGGCAGTTTGAGAAGAAAAATGTAAGGAGTTATGTGAACGTGTCCCTTCAGCATCTCTTGAGAAAAAAGGCGATTTGGGGCATCGGTGAGAAAGGAATTCTTTGTAAGGCTTCGGAGCTGGTTTTACATCTAAACCGGGGTGTGTGTCCAACTTTGGGGCACTTTAAGACTTGTGGACTTCAATTCCCAGAATCCCCCAGCCAGCCATAATCATGGCTGGCTGGGGGATTCTGGGAATTGAAGTCCACAAGTCTTAAAGTGCCCCAAAGTTGGACATCCCTGGTTTAAATCCTAAAATCGTTCCTTCAGATCACTGTGATTGAAATTTGGCAAGTCAAAAATTGGGTGGACTTCAACTCCCCGAATTCTCCAGCCAGCTTAGACAGGAATAGAGAGGAAAAAAAGCGCTCCTGGTATATAAAAGGCGGAAACATTGAAACCCACCCACTCACAGTTGCAATGGTGTCGTTTATTTTACAAAACATTTCATTTCAAAGTGTCTTTTGTTTAACAGAAACGTCCCCATCTTCTGGGGGTTTGGTTTTTTTTTCATTTCTTCCCATAAAAGAGATTTTCCCTCAGCCCCACCAAAAATAAAACAAAATAAATAAAAGTGCTCCCCTCCCTCTCTGCAAAATGGCAAAGGTTTTTTTTTTTTAATTTTTATTTTTGGGAGGAGGAGGAGGAGAAGGAAGGGTTGGGGGGGGGGAACCATAAACCTCAAATGGTTGGATTCGAATACAGGACCGAGGGCCGATGGCCAGGAAAGTTTTTATACAAGGGAGGGGAAAAAAAATATCTGTGCAAATCCTTCACTCTTTCATTTTGTTGGTTTCGCTTGCAATTTTTTTTATTTTTATTTTTTGTAAAAAAACACCATGTTTTCTTTTTTTTTTCTTCCTCTCTTTTAATAGAAAACGTCAAAGGTAATTTATATATATATATATATATATATATATATATGTGTGTGTGTGTGTGTGTGTGTGTGTGTGTGTGTGTGTATAGTATATACATACACAAATTGCTAATTCCACAAAAAGTTGCTTCAGTAGTCGGGGAAATAGCACCTTTTCAAAAAAAAAAAAAAAAGAGGGGGGGAGAACGAGAGAGAAAGATAGAGAGAGAGAGAAATGTACAGTGTAGGAAAAGAGAGAAAGAGAAAGAGAGAGAGAGAGAAAGGGATGGGGGGGGAGAGAAAAACGTACAGTGTAGGAAAAGAGAGAGAGGGAGGATGGGGGGAAAGGGAAATGTACAGTGTAGGAAAAGAGAGAAAGAGAGAGAGAGAGAAGAAGGGGTTGGGAGGGAGAGAAAGAGAGAGATGGCTTGAGATTTAAAAACTGGAGTCACCACTGCAAATTGCAAGCCTTTCTTGAGGCTTTTTTCTGTTTTTTTAAACCAACGAAAACAAACCAATGAAAGATTGAAAGTTCAGTCACAGATCGCTTTTGCTTGCCCCCGTATTCTTTCTTTCCGAGTTTCTTACGGAGGAGAAATGGTTTTCTCTCCAGCCTGCCCCCCACCCCATCCCGTGAAATTCCCCCCCTCCCCGCACGCACACACACACACACACACAATCTCCCGGAAAGAAAAAAAAAAAAAAGCTTTTGTCCATTCCAAAAAATCGTCAGAAAGAACAGAGAGGTAGGCTAGGAGCAAGTCAAGCTTCCCAAAAGTCCAAAAAAAGAAAGAAAGAAAAAGAGAAAAAGAAGAAAAAAAAGAGAAAACCCCAAAATGGAAGGAAAAGAATTTAAATTTGCGAGTTATTGCACAACGGCTGAGTCTTCCCTCGCCACAGTTTTCCGTTTAAATTAATTTTCCGCGGGGTGGGTGGGGTGGCTGCGAAGGGATTTGTTCCCCGTTATTCCTTTTCCTTGAAACGTCAAGCGCTGTCCCGCCTGGTGAAGCTCCTCTCGGCCTCCTCGGCTAGAACTTAGCATGCAGGGGGGTCTCCATCATGGCCAAATAGTTGGGCCCGGGGCCACCGTCCTCGCAGCTCTTTGGGGTGCCCACCCGCGGGCGCTTGGCTGCTTTCGAGTCGTCACCTGAGATCGTCTCTTCCTGAGGCGCGCCGCTGCTCAGGGACTGCCGGAGGAGGGGAACGGGCGAGGCATGAGGGAGGAAGCGGAGACCACAAGGAGATCTTATTATTATTATTTATTTAAAAAGTTTTTGTTTTCCATTTATGCACATCATACAAAATACAATTTACAAAATAAAATAAATACCTAACCATTGGTACCGCCTGCCCATTCCCCCCAGGCCGCGTCCACCCTCTCTAAAACCTTCCCTACTTCCCTCCTCTTTCTCTCCTCCCCTCCTACTCTCTTCCCCTCCCCCTCTCCTCTTACCATCCTACTTCCTCCCTACACCTTCCTCTCCTCTCATCCCTCTCAAACACATGAACGCAGCATAGGGGAAACGCCCAAGCAGCACTTCCCTCATAAACTACCACAGTGTTTCCCAAACTTGACAATTTTAAGGCATGAGGACTTCAACTCCCAGAATTCCACAGCCAGCAACGCTGGCTGTGGAATTCTGGGAGTTGAAGTCCACATGTCTTAAAATTGTCAAGTTTGGGAAACACTGAACTACCATATCTATATTATCCTTACCCACCCACCCACTCACCCACCCACTCACCCTCAACCCTCCTTCCCTCACTTCCCAGAGCAGGGTTATTAATAACAAAGTGAACAATAAAAAAAAAAAGGAAAAGAAAAAAGAGAAAAGGAAAAAAAGAAAAAAAATATCGTACTTAACCTTTAACTCCCCTTAAATAAGATCATAAACAAATCTCTACAACATTGACTATAAAAATTACTCGTAAAGTAAATGAAACTTTGTAGTCCCATACTTTTTCTAAATATAATCTATCCATCTTCTCCATACAATAATATATCTTTCTTGTGTATGATCCTTCAAATAAGCAGAAATGTTTTGCCATTTCTGCAAAAGGAGATCTTATTATTGGCGTGAGGGAAGACAGGAGGATGCCAACCACCAGCCCTTCCGAGCCCCTGGGAGCATGGGGTTTGCTCTCTACTTGTATATACAGACCAACTGAGGCAATCAAAGAAAAAACAGCAGCCTAACCAAGGAACTAGGCAAGGGGGAAACTGCCCTCCAGCACTGATGGAGCAAGCTACCGGGGTAAACACATAGTACTTGCCTTACGACCGTTCATTTAGTGACTGTTCAAAGGACAACCTAGAACAGTGGTGGCGAACCTATGGCACGGGTGCCAGAGGTGGCACTCGGAGCCCTCTCTGTGGGCACACGCACCGTCTCCCCAGCCCTGCCTCTTCCCACGGCCCCCTCCTCACCAGCAGCTGTCCTGGAGGAGAGTCGCCCTGGGCGCGGCCCACGCAAAGCAGTGCAACCAAGGACACGGTAACCGGGCAGCGGGGACAAGACTCTGCTCTTGCGCCCCGTTGCGCGCAGATGCTACTGCGGGGCACGGGCGGAGGGCGTGGCCACCATGGCGCTGCTGGGCTGCCTGGGTGATCTGTGGCGGGCCGTGGAGGTAGTGGGTGGCCCAGTGGGCGCGGTGGAGTAGGGACGGGGGTGGGGGGGCGGTTTTTGGGCACTCGGTCTCTAAAAGGTTCGCCATCACTGACCTAGAACTAAGGAGAAACTTCCTGAAAGTGAGAACAATTAACTAGTGGAACTCCTTGCCTCCAGAAGCTGTGAATGCTCCAACACTGGAAACACTGGAAGTTTTTAAGAACAGACTGGACAGCCATTTGTCTGAAATGGTATAGAGTTTCCTGCCTGAGCAGAGGGTTGGATAGATGACCTCCAAGGTCCCTTCCAACTTTATTATTTTTATTATTATCGATCATCGCACAGTCAGCCAGATGTTCAGACTGGATTTGGCATTTTGTCTACCTATCGAGTCCTTACCCAGGACCTGGGATAGGCAGATGTGGATGTTTGATGGTATTACAGATATCGTCGCAGGATGGAAGCAGTTCCTAATAAGGCCGCCTTTTGCAATTGACTAATAGCGAATTTGTCAATGCCAATGGTGTTCAAGTGGTGCTCCAGTTGTTTTGGGATTGCACCCAAGGAGCCTATGACTATTGGTACTACCCTTGCTTGCTTTTGCCACAGTCTTTCTATTTCTATTTGTAGGTCTTTGTATTTTGTTATCTTCTCCAGTTCTTTCTCTTCTATTCTGCTATCTCCAGGCACTGCCACATCCACTATCCAGACTTTTTTGTCTTTCTTATCGACAATTGTTAAGTCTGGGGTGTTATGTTGCAGGTGCTTGTCTGTTTGAATTCTGAAGTCCCAGAGCAGTTTAATTTTATCATTTTCTATGACTTTCTCTATTTTATGATCCCACCAGTTTTTGCTTACAGGCAAATGATATTTTTTGCAGATCTTCCAATGCACCATTGTTGCTACTTTGTCATGCCGCTGCTTGTAATCAGTTTGTGCAATCTTCTTGCAACAGCTTACCAAGTGGTCCACTGTTTCTTCAGCTTCTTTGCATAGGCGGCACTTACTGTCTGTTGCTGTCTTCTCAATTTTGACTTTGTATGCATTTGTCCTTAAGGCTTGGTCTTGTGCAGCCAGAATTAGTCCCTCGGTCTCTTTCTTCAATTTTCCTGCTCTTAGCCATTGCCAGGTTTTATTATTATCTGCTTTCCCAGCTATTTTTTTCATGTATTGGCCATGTAGTGCTTTGTCTTCCCATGCCTCTATTCTGTTCTTCATTTGGTCTTTCTTGTAGGCCAGTTTGGTCTCTCCAGTAGTTAGTAAGCCTTCCTGATATACTAATTTCAGTGCATCTTCATCATTGTTCTTCAGATATTCTTCCAAAGCCATTTTTTCTTCTTCAACCATCTGATGTACTTGTAGCATTCCACGCCCACCTATTTGCCTTGGTAGATAAAGTCTATCAATGTCACTGCGTGGATGAAGGGCATGATTCATTGTCATTATTTTTCTGGTCTGCCTATCCATTGCTTTTAGTTCTGCTTGAGTCCAGTCCACTATTCCAGCTGTGTACCTAATGACTGGGATTGCCCAGGTGTTGATTGCCTTTATGGTATTTCCTCCATTGAGTTTGGATTTTAAGATCTTCTTCACTCTCTTGATGTATTCACCTCTAATCTTTTTCTTGACTTCAGTGTGCTTGATGTTGTCAGCTTGAAGGATACCCAAGTATTTGTAGTACTCTTCCTCATCCAGACTCTTAATGTTATTTTCGTGGGGCATCTTGATTCCTTCAGTTTTCATTATTTTTCCTTGTTTGATAGTAAGTGTGGCACATTTGTCCAAGCCAAACTCCATTACAATATCTTGGCTATATATACGGACAGTGTTGAGCAGCGATTCTATTTCAGATGATGTTTTTCCATACAGCTTCAGATCATCCATATAAAGGAGGTGGGATAGTCTGGCAGATGTTTTTGATGTTTGATAGCCATGTCCTGAGTTATTCAGTATTGTTGACAGAGGAAACAGTGCAATAACAAATAGTAATGGTGATAATGAATCTCCTTGAAATATTCCTCTCTTGATATTAACCTCTCCCAGCTTCTCACCATTGATCTGCAACTGTGTCTTCCATTGTGCCATCGATCTTTGCACAAATTTTCTGATGTTTCTACTGACTCCTGTTATTTCTAGGCACTTTATTATCCAATCATGTGGCAGAGAGTCAAATGCCTTTTTGTAGTCAATCCATGCCACATTCAGGTTGGTCTTCCTTCTCTTGCAGTTTTCCAAGATCATTTTGTCTATTAGGAGTTGATCTTTTGTTCCTCTGCTATTGGGGCGGTTTCCTTTCTGCTCAGGTGGAAAGAGATTGTTTTCAACTAGATGCTGTTGCACTGCATCAGCTACTACACCAGTTAGTAATTTGAAAGTTGTTGGTAAGCAGGTAATTGGCCTGTAGTTACCTGGTGTTGCCCCTTTTGCTGGATTTTTCATTATTAGGTAGGTTTTCCCAGTTGTTAGCCACTTTTCAATTTCTCCTCCTTGTAGTATATTGTTGAACTGCTTGGCAATGAGTGGGTGTATAACAGTTAGATGTTTCAACCAAAACCCATGCAGTTCATCTTCACCTGGTGCTGACCAATTTTTGATTTTCTTTGCTCTTTTTTCTACCATTTTTGTTGTTATTACTAGTTCTTTCATTTCAACTTCTGTTTTATTTGCATCCACCTCTTTTAACCAAGCCGCATCCTTGTTGTATTTCTTTGGGTTATCCCATATCTGCTTCCAGAACTGCACTGTTTCTTCCTTGTCAGGTACTGACTGATTCCTTGCAGTTTCTCCATTGATGGATTGGTAGAAACGTTTCTGATTGGATTGAAATTGGAGGTTCTGCCTATAGTTTGCAATTCGAGCTTCATATCTACTGATTTTCCTGGCTATAGCTGTTATTTGTTGCTTTATTATTTCCAGTGCTTCCTTGATCTTCCTTGTTTCTAAGTGGTATTTCTTGATTAGGTATTCTTTGGTCTTCTTGTTCTTCAGCTTCTTTTCTTTCATCTGTTCTAGCTTGCTTGCATGTGATCTTAACTTGCTGATCTTATTTTCTAGTCTAACCTTCCATTTTTCTGGTGCACTGTTTGTTTGTTTTTCTTCTTTGTTGATTTTGCATCCCAGGTATTCTGTTATAACTGCAGCTGTGCTGTACATTAGTTGGTTTGTTTCTTGCAATGAATTGGTGCTTATACTTGATATTGCAATATTTGCATCTTTTAATGCTTGTGCTAGCTGTTTCTTTGGAACAAGCTTCAATGCAGGTAGCCTTATTCTGTTGTTTTTGTGCTGTTCTAGATGCTCAGTTATTCTTTGTTTCAATTCTTTTATTTCTTTAGTTAGAGGGTTTTGTTCTTCCTGAGGTAGAGGTGCCTGGTTTCCAAATGAGAACAGTTGTATATCTCTGCTAGATTCCTTCACTGCCATAATTATTATTATTATATTATTACTATCATTCATTGCACAGTCAGCCAGATGTTCAGCCTGGATTTGGCATTTTATCTACCTATCGAGTCCTTACCCAGGACCTGGGATAGGCAGATGTAGATGTTTGATGGTATTACAGGTATCGTCGCAGGATGGAAGCAGTTCCTAATAAGGCCGCCTTTCGCAATTGACTAATAGCGAATTTGTCAATGCCAATGGTGTTCAAGTGGTGCTCCAGTTGTTTTGGGATTGCACCCAAGGAGCCTATGACTATTGGTACTACCCTTGCTTGCTTTTGCCACAGTCTTTCTATTTCTATTTGTAGGTCTTTGTATTTTGTTATCTTTTCCAGTTCTTTCTCTTCTATTCTGCTATCTCCAGGCACTGCCACCTCCACTATCCAGACTTTTTTGTCTTTCTTATCGACAATTGTTAAGTCTGGGGTGTTATGTTGCAGGTGCTTGTCTGTTTGAATTCTGAAGTATTATTATTATTATTATTATTATTATTATTATTATTATTATTATTATGTTACAGAAACTGTGGTGGCACAGTGGCTATAACGCAGTACTGCAAGGCTAATTCTGCTGATTGCCAGCTGCCATCAGTTCGATCCTGACCGGTTCAAGGTTGATTCAGCTTTCCATCCTTCCGAGTCAGTAAAATGAGGACCCAGATTGTTGGGGGGGGGGGGAAGGGGAGGAAGATGCTGACTCTGTAAACGGCTTAGACAGGGCCCGTCAAGCCTGTTGCTGCAACATTACTGAAAAAAGGGACTCGTGACCATTTTTCACACTTACGACCGTTGTAGCATTCCCGTGGTCGGGCGATCAAAATTCAGACCGTTGGCAACTGACACACATTTGTGACGGTTGCCGTGTGTCTCCCGGGGTCACATGATTCCCCTTTTTGCGACCTTTGGGCAAGCAAAGTCAATGGGGAAGCCGGACTCACTTAACAACCGTGTTACTAACTTAAGAACTGCAGTGATTCACTTAAGAACTGTGGCAAGAAAGGTCGTAAAAGGAGGCAGAATTCACTTAACAAATGTCTCACTTAGCAACGTAAATTTTGGGCTCCATGGTGGTCATAAATCGAGGACTACCTGTAATTAGAGAGCCAGCCCTGCTCCCTTCTAGCACTGATCGTATTGCCTAGTTGGGTCATGAAACATCTGCAGGGAAACGACCAAGCGCCAAGGATCCCACTGGATCCTTTGATCGTATTTTCACAAAATCCCTCCCCAAGCCCGGCTCCAAGCTGCATCTCTGCAGGGTTTGAGGCCCAGATACCCACCAGGCGAGATTTAACTCTCTTGGGAAGTTCTTCGTCAAGGGTATAGATCTCCCCTCGTTTGACCATCAGCTGAGAGCCATCTTCAAACTCTACCTGTGGAAGGAAATGGAGCAATTGTCAAGCACTGAGCCTCTGGTTTAGGATCCTACCCGTGTTTCCCCAGAAGTAAAATAAGCCCTAGCCTGATTTTTGGGGGTGGGACTAATATAAGCCCTACCCCCAAAATAAGCCCTAGTTTTTGCACAAGGTGCACATCTAAAAATCCATCCAACCATCCATCTATCCATCCATCCAATCATCCAACCAACCAACTAACCAACCAACCATCCATCCAACTATCCATCCATCCATCCATCCACCCGCCCACCCACCCATCTATCCATCCACCCACTCACCCACCCAACCATCCATCCACCCATCCACCCACCCACCCATCCAACCACCATCCATCCACCCACCCAACTATCCATCCATCCATCCATCCATCCACCCACCCACCCATTCATCCATCTATCTAACCATCCATCCACCCAACTATCCATCCACCCACCCATTCATCCACCCATCCATCCATCCACCCACCCACCCACCCATCCATCCATCCACCCACCCACCCAACTATCCATCCACCCACCCACCCACCCACCCACCCATCCAATCATCCATCCATCCATCCATCCATCCAACCAAACATCCATCCATCCACCCAACTATCCACCCACCCACCCACCCACCCACCCATCCATCCACCCATCCACCTTCGACTTTCTCTTTTCCTTGACAAGTGAGACACCAACAAACCCAGTTTGCCTGAAAATACCTTGTTCTCTTCTCCAGACTACGAAGAACAGCCTGTTCACTGACTTTCCCCACCGTGACAGGTTGTCGATTCCAAAAGCAGACCAATCTCCTCAGAGTGAGAGGATCTAGTCTGAATCAAGCCCCTTGGGTTTAGGGATTAGATTAGTCCGAGTTCCTGCCTTCGCCATGAAAGCTGGCAAAGCCGGCTGGGGGACCTTTGGGCCAGTCACTCTTTCTCAGCCCAACCCACCTCACAGGGTTGTTTTCGTGAGGGAAAAAAGGAAAGAGGAAGCTGGGCGGGATATGTTTGCCCGCCTTGAGCTATTTGTAAAGTCAACCTAGGCAGGATTTAAAAAAGTAAAGTAAAAAGGTAAAAGGGAAAGGTAAATTCTGGGCTTTCACCTGAAAGATCTGGTTGACGTGGGCAGCGATGAACTTAGCTTGGTAAGTGACGCCGTTGGTCAAGTGCAGCTGGACCGGCTCGCCCTCCGCAGGTGGCCCCATCTTAAGGCAGTCTCTGTTCTGAGAAGCAAAATTATTTTTTTACAAGCAGCTCTCAAGGGCCAGGATCGGTCCTGGAGTCCAATCGGATGCCATACTAATCTGATCAAACAGGCCTCACTGTTTCAACTGGGAAAACTGTGAGCATCCTAGACCAGGCTCTTTGATGACTGGTGGACTTCAACTCCCAGAATTCCTGAGCCAGCCATGCTGAGGGGACAGGGAGAGGTTTCCAAGCTGAGCCATGCTGGCTGAGGGATTCTGGGAGTTGAAGTCCACGAGTCATAAAAGAGCCAAGGTTACCTATCCCTGACCTAGATGACTGACAGACAGACAGACAGACAGACAGATGATAGATACACCTAGATCAGAGGTAGGCAACCTTGGCTCTTTGATGACTCGTGGATTTCAACTCCCAGAATTCCTGAGCCAGCCATGCTGAGGGGAAAGGGAGAGGTTTCCAAGCTGAGCCATGCTGGCTCAGGGATTCTGGGAGTTGAAGTCCACCAGTCATCAAAGAGCCAAGGTTGCCTATCCCTGTCCTAGACAAAGCCAACAACACTTGAGGGTTCCTGGAAGCTTGGCCCTCAAAACAAACTGGCCATCAACAGGCCCATAGAGATAAACCACATTTCTACACCCTTCAAAAGAGGCAATAAGGAAAATTAAGAATGAAACAGAAAGACTACTAGAACACATCCTTACCAGGAGCAAAACTACCCAGATGACCAGTGATTAACGTCAAGACAAACAATCAAGCAGAAAAAATATATTCTAATCAAGGAACTACTGATTCAGACACAGACTCGAAAAGTAAACAACGGCCTAATCAAGGAAGCACCAAGAACACTCCCGTCCACACTGACACAGCAAGCCGCTAGTATATAAACAGAGCCCAAACTTCCCTCCCTTCTAGCACTGATGATGTTCCCCATCTTCAAGAAAACCACCCAGTTCAGAGAGCACCAAGGACCCCACAGTCTTCCTTCTCCTCCTCCTCCTCTTCCTCCCCCCTTCTTCTCCTCCATTTTGCAAACCTTATCCCTTCTAACGTTGATAATGTTACCTAGTTGGGTCATGAAACGTCTGCAAGAAAACCACCCAGCTCAGAGAGCACCAAGGACCCCACAGTCCTCCTCCTCCTTCCTTTCCCCTCCCCTCCTCCCCTCCCCAAATCCCACTGACTCCCTTCTGATGATGTTCCCCAGTTGGGTCATGAAACGTTCGCAAGAAAACAACTAAGCGCAGAGAACAGAGTCGACTCTCCTATCCAGAGCGTTACACACTCTACTCCGGGGGGGGTCTTCAAACTTAGGCCCTTTTATGACTTGTGGACTTCAACTCCCAGAATTCCTCAGCCAGGCACAGTCATAAAAGGGCCAAGTTTGAAGATCCCCGCTCTACTCTTAAGGTCTCCTGCTCCTCCAAACTACTTACAATAATGTTTTCTGGATAAATGTTATCACTGTAGGAGCCATCGTCGAAGTTGACCTCGTAAAAGGTTTGCGTGGTCACCCCGATCACTTTGCACCGGTAATAGAGGCCGTTCCGGTTCTTCGCGATTACCGTCTGGCTGAGGGAGACCTCTCTGGAAAAGGGAAGCTGGAAGAGACAAAGGGACTGTCCATCAAGCGAAAGGGCGGGCCGGTGGGGTGAACAAGGGGAAGGGGAGGGACAGATCCGAGGGACACCTACAATGTGGCTGGCCGCTTTGTGCTTGAAGCAGGTGATGGACACCACGTAGGGCCAATCATCGGGCTCGATGGGCACGCCGGCTGCGTGGGCGCAGGTGACGTGGAAAGACGTGGAGCAGTGCTCGGAGGAACACTGGATGCAGGCTCCGGAAACTTTCTTCATCCGCTTACGGCAGTAGACACATTTCTGAAAAGAAAGCGGATGTCATGGTTCCGACAGATGGAACTCTTCAAAGAACTTCGAGGCATTGTTTACCTGAAAGAAACTTTATTCAAGTTGCATGGCATCGGCAGGTACATGGTCGAAGCCGAAATCTGAAATTCCCCTCCCCTAAAACACATAGTATCAAAGCACAATTCCCTCCTCCGATTAACAATCATAATCACATTCCCCAATTAGTTTGAAATGCAGACCTTCCCTCCAGTTCTCCAATCCGCCATTCCTTATCATCTCGTATGTCAAACAGCCTTGAAAAAACAGCCCACTACAAGGTTGTTATGTCTAACTAATTCCCATACACATTCTTCCTTCCCCTCCCCCCGCATCATCTAATTCTAACTCTAAAAGTAACACACAAGTTAAGGGGGAAATGGCTGGATTTTCATATATTGTCCAAGCAAGAACATCCGATGTTAGCAGTGTTGACAGAGGAGGTGGATTAGAGCCCCGTGGGGGGTCTGCCATTTTGACAGTGAGGATTTTGGATTCTGCTTTTAACTTTTAACATTCATCATCATCATCATCATCATCATCATCATCAAGTTGGAAGGGACCTTGGAGGTCATCTAGTCGTTATTGTTTTGTTTTTTTTAAAAAAATCCTTTTTATTAGAGTTTAGAACAATGGTTCTCAACCTTTTTAATGCCGCGACCCCCAACCGGTCGTAAGTCGAGGACTACTCAACTGGTGCAGCACCGTTTGCAGAATGGGACTTTTGGCGGGCTCAGCAGGGCAGAGACAGCCTGGACAATTCCTATTGGCTTTTGAAAGCCAATAGAATTAGACTCTATTCAAGAGAGTCTATTCTATTGGCTTTCAAAAGCCAATAGAATAAGAGGGAGTAGCACAGCTAAGGAAAAGGGGGAAAAAATGGCAGACTGTGTTGTTTGGCGACCCCCGTGAAATGGTCGTTCGACCCCAAATGGGGTCCTAACCCACAGGTTGAGAACCAATGGTTTAGAAATAAAGAGATAAAAGACTAATACAAACTAAGAAAAATAATATGCCAAGGGCAAAGAAGAAAAAAATAGAATGAAGGAAAAAAGAGATAAAGAAATGGCTCCCCCTTAATCAAGACAAATACAATCAATTTTAGTACTGGTTTGTACCTTTAGAGCAGGGGTCTTCAAACTGGGCCCTTTTATGACTTGTGGACTTCAACTCCCAGAATTCCCCAGCCAGCCATGCTGAGGGGAAAGGGAGAGGTTTCCAAGCTGAGCCATGTTGGCTCAGGAATTCTGGGAGTTGAAGTCCACGAGTCATAGAAGAGCCAAGGTTGCTATCCTTGCCATCGACATTATGACCGTTTTTCATACTGACACTGTTGCGCCATCCCTGTGCTCACATGATCAAAATCTGAGCACCTGGTACCCGGTTGCAGTGTCCCGGGGGGGGGATCTTCTGTGACCCCTTTTGCGACCTTCCGACCAGCCAAGTCAAAGGGCGAAGCCGGATTCAACTAACAATCGTGTTGCTAACTTAACTGCAGCGATTCCCTTGACACATGTGGCAAGAAAGACTGTGCAATGGGACAACACTCACTTCAACCGACTCGCTTAGCCGCACAAAAGCTGGGACTCCGTTTTGGTCGTTAAGTCACGGAGTATCTGTATCTGTATAAATCAGTGGTTCTCAACCTTTCTAATGCCGCGACCCCATAATACAGTTCCCCATGTTGTGGTGACCCCCAACCACTTATACATCACTGGGTGCCAGGGGCGTGGCCAAAGAAAAGGGGAAAAAAATGGCGGACAGCCTTGTTTGGCGACCCCCGTGAAATGGTCGTTCGACCCCAAATGGGGTCCCGACCCACAGGTTGAGAACCACTGGTATAAATTGTCGCGGAAATACAACAGAGAACCTATGAAGAAGGTAGCAATGCGCACAAAGCAAGGTGATCAAACAGCCACCTTCCCTGCAGCTCCGAATCAGGGGAAGGGTTGTCTAGCCCTGGATGAGTGCCACAACTCACACACTCAACCGAGGGGATGACAACTAATTACTCTGAAATTCTGCACCGTAATTTATCGACGAGCTCGGCGAAGGCCCATCAGGAGCCGCACAAACAATAACACTTTCCAAATGAGGCGATGCACCACCGGAGCAAAGCAAGGAAATTATGCGGTGGCAAAGTGAGACGTCTCGTCTCCATTTTGGATGGCTCTGTTTTGGAGTGGGGGAGAGGAGGAGGCGGAGGAGGGGGAGGGCTGCCAAGACAGGAGATGGAAATCTTGGCTCGGTCACTGGATGTGTGACAAGAATAAAATAGAATTAACAGGATTGGGAGGGACCTTGTAGGTCATCTAGTCCAGCCCCACGCCCGAGCAGGAGGCCCTACGCCGTTTCTGACAGATGGCAGTCCAGGTCTCGGTGACGCTGCCGATCTCGTTACAGGGAAGCCCTTGACTTACGACCTCAATGGTAAGTCCTTCTTTTCGTTAAACGAGCCAAACCCAATTCCCACAACCGTTCTTCGTGTATGTTCTAGGCCCCTAATCAGTTTTATTGCTCTTCTTGACCACAGAATCTGTTATTCAAGAAGAACCGGGGGGGGGGGGGGAGAAGAAAGGCTGTTTTGTGTTTCATTTTCTAATCAGGTCACTGCACCACAGTTTGTCTGCTGCAGAATGCTTGTTTACTTCACCTGCCTGCCAGGAGACTAATTCAAACCCGGTCTATTTCCTCCACTTCGGATTTTGCACCCCACTTACCCGAGTTCCCCTTCGCTCCCAAATGGGAGCATCCTGATTTCAGCCTGCAGGTCCCTCCCTCCTTCCACACGGCATCCTAAGCTGACCTTCTGGTCTAAAATGAGGGGATTGCGACAACCCAACGAGAAGGAAAACCAAAGGAATTGTAGAAGAGGAGGACCTGAATGCCTGTTTTGGGTTTTCGAAGGGAAACTCAAATTTTCTAGAGCAGAGCACAGAAACGGAAAGACGAAGCAAGCACCAACGGAAGAGAAAATCTGTAGCTGAGGATTGAATTCTGGGGTCCTGGGTGCTCTATGAGGTTGGTTGTCTCCTTGCAGACATTTCACTATCCAAATAGGTAACATCGTCAGTGCTAGAAGGGAGTGGGGTTTGTAGAGAGGAGGAGGAGGAGGAGGAGGAGGAGGAGAAAGAGGAGGAGGAGGACAACGACGACGACGACAATTGTGGGGTCTGTGGCACTCCGAACTTGGTTGCTTTCTTGGAGATGTTTCATTATCCAGCTAGGTAACATCATCAGTACTAGAAGGGAAAGGGGTTTATGGGGAGGAGGAGGAGGAGGAGGATTATTTTAGGATCCTTGGTGCTCTCTGAGCTTGGTGATTTCCTTGCAGACGTTTCATGACCCAACTAGGTAACATCATCAGGGCTACAAGGGAGTGGGGTTGGTTCTCTGTTTATATACCGGTGGCCTAACAGCCTTATCAAGGAACCACCAAGCCCTCTCCCACTAACCCTGGCAGGGCAAGCCATATCAAAAGTATTTTTTTTCTTTTTTCTTTTCTTTCTTTTTTTTTTTAAAAAAGAGGATTCTTGTGTTCTACCAGCCAACTGTTGGGGGTTCGCTCCCCTCTCCCCCCACCAAGGAATGCACAGATTAGAGAACAGCTGCTCACTCTAACCTTTGGGGCTTGGGGTGAAAAATTCAAAAAATGCCTAACTTGACTCCACTAGCATGTCACAGGCAAAGAAAAAAAGGAGCATTTTTTAAAATATATTCATTTAGTTATTTAACTAAAGCTTTATAAAGTGGAATCAGTATTAACACTTCGTGTGATCTTGATTCTATCCCTCTGTTAATGCAGCCTAGCACTGTGTTGGCTTTTTTGGCAGCTGCAGCACACGGCTGGCTCCTATTTAAGTGATTGTCCACTAGGACTCCGAGATCCCTCTCACAGTTGTTACTATTGAGCAAGGTACCCCCTATACTATACCTGTACATCTGGTTTTTCTTGCCTAAATGTAAAACCTGACTTTTTTCACCCTTGAATTTCATTTTGTTAGATAGCGCCCAGTGTTCAAGTCTGTCCAGATCCTCCTGTATCCTAAGCCTGTCTTCTGGAGTGTTGGCTATTCCTGCCAGCTTGGTATCATCTGCAAATTTGATGAGTTCCCCATCTATCCCTTCGTCCAAATCACTGATGAAGATGTTGAAGAGCACTGAGCCCAGAACAGAGCCCTGGGGCACTCAACTACACACTTCCCTCCATGTAGATGCGGTTCCATTGAGGACCACACATTGACAAGACACCTGCTATCATGTCTCCCTTAATCCTTCTCTTCATTAAACTAGACGTACCCAATTCCAGCAGCCGTTCATTACATATTTTAGCCTCCAGTCCCCTAATCATCTTGGTTGCTCTTCTCTGCACTCTTTCCAGAGTCTCAATGTCTTTTTTACATCGTGGTGACCAAAAGTGGATGCAGTATTCCAAGTCTGACCTTACCAAGGCCTTGTAAAGTGGTATTAACACCTGATCTTGATTCTCTCCCTCTGTTCATGCAGCCTAGCACTGTGTTGGCTTTTTTGGCAGCTGCAGCACACAGCTGGCTCCTATTTAAGTGATGGTCCACTAGGACTCCGAGATCCCTCTCACAGTTACTACTATTGAGCCAGGTACTGAGCAACACCAGAACTTTGGACTGCACGCTTCGTCTTCTCTAGGTGGACCCCTGGCTCTCAGATCAAACAACGCCCCCATGAGACAGGGCTTCCCTGCATCTCTGCAGCTGCAGCTCCAAAGTGCCAGTGGCCCACTCAGGAGACAATCTCCGCTCCAGCCCAAGTTTATGCCGGCCTCTACGGATCCTGCCAAGCCACGCAAGCAGCAATGAGGAGACACCGAGAGGGGTACAAGTGGCAAAGCTGTTTGCCCGAGGACTTAACGGATTTCTCTTGGGAGGTCCATTAAGCAGTACAAGCCAGCCCCATATAAAGGGAGGGGTTTTTTTTAATTTGCTGTTACAAGTGTGGGTAATGAAGAGGATGGCGGGCTGGAAAAGTCAGGTTATCCATAAAGGAGCCGAGCACGTTGCTGTCGCTCAGGAATAATAATAAATGTGCTTTTTACCTCCCACTTCCACAAGAGAGAAGGGCAAAGGTCCCCAAAGCATAAGAGAGGCTCTCTAATCTTCCAGGCAAGAAACTACCAGCTCGGACACACAACCAAACAGTAAACAACAGGGAATCACCAAGGAGAAAACAACACTCTCACCAACATGTCTGGGCAAGCCGCTTGTACATAAACAAGTGAGAGCCAACTCCACTTCTTTTTAGCACTGATGGGTGTTACCTAGCTGGGTAATGAGATGTCTGCAAGAAAACAAGCCAGGTCAGAGAGCACCAAGGACCCCACAGTTGTCCTCCTCCTCCTGCTCCTCCCCCTCCTCCAGTCCACAATTACCATTCCCTTCTAGCACTGATGATGCTACCTAGCTGGGTAATGAAACGTCTGCAAGAAAACAACCCAGCTGAGAGAGCACCAAGGACTCCACAGTCGTCGTCATCGTCCTCCTCCTCCTCCTCCTCTTCCTTCTCCACCACCACTCGGCAACCCCCCCTTCCTTCTAGCACTGATGATGTTACCTAGGTGGTTCATGAAACGTCTGCAAGAAAACAACCCAGCTCAAAGAGCACCAAGGACCCCACAGTCTTCCTCCTCCTTTCTCCATGAACCTCAGCCCCTTCTAGTATTGATGTTACCTCGTTGTATCGTAAATCATCTGCAAGGAAACAGAGAGTACCAAGGACCCCACAGTCCTCCTCCTCCTCCTCCTAACCACCACTCTGCAAACCTCTTTCCTTCTAGCACTGATGATGTTACCTAGTTGGGTACCGAAATGTTTGCAAGAGAAGAAACAAGCTCAGACAGCATCAGGGACCCCACAGTCCTCCTCCTCCACCATTCTGCAAACCCCTCTCCTTCTAGCACTGATAATGTTACCTAGTTGGGTAATGAAACACCCCCAAGAGGGACCCCACACTTCAACCCTGAGCTACCCATATTCGCTTCTATTGCTTCCAGCCAAGGCCTGCAGGGACTACTAACCCGTTAAGGTCCATTTCCCTTCCCCAAGGAGTTCCCAGTTTCCACCTTTCTTCCTTAACGGGCTCAAGGGCCCCTTACCAGTTTCCACCGTTGCTCAAGGATGGCAGTGATGTCTACAGGATGGCGCGCGAGGATGTTGACAAAACGGGCTTCCGGGACAGCGATGGCACAGATGACGTGCACCCACCTGCAAAGCGTCCCAGGGGGGGGGGAAAGATATTGAAATATTTATTTATTGTTCCCCTCGACATCGTTAAGCATCGTCCCAAGAGATCGGGGTTATCCGTGAGAGACGTGCGACAGGAATCTCTGCCGCTGCCCAAAGATCAATTCTGATCTTAAAGCGAAGAGGTTTAATACTGTCAATCTGACAGGACAAAGTCCAGATTAGTTCAAGTGATATTAATGCAGGGGTCTTCAAACTTGGCCCTTTTAGGACTTGTGGACTTCAACTCCTAGAATTCCTCAGCCAGGCACATTAAATTTACATTTTTATCATCATCCAGAAGGGAAAAACACAAGATAGTTGGGCACATAGGAATATCCTGAGGTAAATCAAACAGTATACAGAACACACAGAGGAAAAAAGGCGGGAAAAAAGGGAAACGCCCCCTTCATACTGACAGCAACCAATTAGAGCAGCGTTTCTCAACATTTGTGTGACGGCGACCCCCGCCACACAAATGTGCCGCGCATGTGCGGGGCGCGCGGATGCCGCCCCCATGCACGCTGCGCATGCGCGGCGACACCCAATGCGCGGCGGCGCCCCCACCCGTGGCGCGCATGCGCGGCGGCGCCCCCTGAGGGAGGAAAATGGCGGATCGCATTGTTTGGGGTCGCGACCCATAGGTTGAGAACCGCTGAATTAGAGTGTAGATTGCCTCATGCATGAGTCAGGGGTCTTCAAACAGTATACAGAACACACAGAGGAAAAAAGGCAGGAAAAAAGGGAAATGTCCCCTTCATACTGACAGCAACCAATCAGAGTGCAGATTGCCTCATGCATGAGTCAGCCCTCTCTAATTCAGGGGTCTTCAAACTTGGCCACTTAAGACTTATGGACTTCAACTCCCAGAATTCCTCAGCCAGGCACGACCCAGCAGCGCCAGGGTGGCCACACCTTCTGCCCGCACCCTGCAGCATCAACTGCGCACGACAGGGTGTGAGGGCGGAGTTTTGTCCCCGCTGCCCGGCTGCCATGCCCTTGGTTGCGCTGCTCCGCACGGGCCGTGCCCGGGTGCGACTCTCCTCCGGGGAGGGGGGGGGGGACAGGGCTGGGACGTGCCCACAGAGCGGGCTCCGAGTGCCGCCTCTGGCACGCCACCACTGGTCTAGTACAAGAGCTGGCAGACACTCTCCCTCCGAGCTATGTGGCAACTCATTCTAAGATTAACAGTCTTAGTAAAATAATGCCAGTTGACTATAATGCACTTAATCAGGCCGTTCTTTCTCTGAATACAGGGAGTGCTCAACTTACAACAGGGCATTTAGTGACCGTTCAAAGTTACAGCAGCACTGAAAAAGGACTCGGGATCTTTTTTCACCCTTACGACTGTTGCATCCCAGGAGGTCACGTGATCAAAATTCAGATGCTTGGCAACGGACTCATGTTTAGGACAGTTGCAATGTCCCTTTGCGCAACCTTGTGGCAAGCAAAGTCAACGGGGAAGCGCCAGATTTGCTTAGCGACCGTGTCACTAACTGAACGACTGCAGGGATTCCCTTAACAATTGTGGCAAGAAAGATGGCAAAATGGGGGGCACAATTCACTTCACAGCTGTCTCACTTAGCCACAGAAATTTTGGGTTCAATTGCGGTCGTAAGTCGAGGACTACTGTAACAACTGTTTTGTTGTTGTTGTTTTTTTTAAAAAAGCTACCTGCTCTTCCGGAAAGAAACAAAGGTGACTTAGCAGAAAATCATCTTGAAGCACAGGCCACCCAGATTTTGAAAACCGTGGTGAGTGCAGTGCTTAGAATGCAACATTGCAGGCTGACTCTGCCCACTGCTGGGAGTTTGATCGTGACCGGCTCAAAGTTGACTCAGCCTTCCATCCTTCCGAGGTCAGTAAAATGAGGACCCAGATTGTTCGGGGGGGGGGGGGAGAACAGCTGACTCTGTAAACTGCTTAGACAGGGCTGTAAACCACTCCGGAGCAGTATGTAAGTGCTACTGCTATCTATCTATCTATCTATCTATCTATCTATCTATCTATCTATCTATCTATCTATCTATCTATCTATCATCCATCCATCCTGCTATCTATCTACCTACCTAACCTATCATCCATCCTATCTATCTATCTATCTATCTATCTATCTATCTATCTATCTATCATCCATCCATCCTGCTATCTATCTACCTACCTACCTACCTATCATCCATCCATCCTGCTATCTATCTATCTATCTATCTATCTATCTATCTATCTATCTATCTATCCATCTATCATCCATCCATCCATCCTGCTATCTATCTATCTATCTATCTATCTATCTATCTATCTATCTATCTATCTCTATCATCTACCATCCATTCATCATCCATCTCTCTATCTCTCTATCTCTCTCTCTCTCTCTCTCTCTCTCTCTCTCTCTCTATCTATCTATCTATCTATCTATCTATCTATCTATCTATCTATCTATCTATCTATCATCTCCCTCTCTCTCTTTTCTATCATCTCCCTCTCTCTCTTTTCTATCTATCTATCTCTGTCTGTCTGTATCTGTCTATATTCTCTCTCTCCCTGGTGGCACAGTGATTAGAATGCAGTCTTGCAGGCTGACTCTGCCCACCGTCAGGAGTTCGATCCTGACCGGCTCAAGGTGGCTTCAGCCTTCCAGCCTTCTGAGGACGGTAAAACGAGGATCCAGATTGTTGGGGGCAAAATGCTGACATTTGCAAAGCGCTCAGAGAGGGCTGTAAAGTTTTATAGCCAATTTACCTTCCATCCGTAGTTCTTTGAAGAGCTCCTCCTCTGAGATTACAGAGACAGCAATCCTGGGAAAGCAACATGGAAATTATATTTTAAAAGGGAGAAAAATATCCTGCCAAAATATTTGGGGAATTGTGGGGCAGGGGGGTAGGGGAAGGAAAGAAGAATTACATCCAGCACCCTGGTGTGAGGCACAAAGAACCAGGACCCTATGTAAGGTTGCAGCATAGAAGATTTATTCAAGTCTATACATAAGAATCTGGTCAAATAAAATTCAAGAGTAAGTTACCCTCAGATTAGGGTCAACGGAATTCAGGAGGGGATGTACTTGGGAATGCTTGTGGGAATGTAAGGACTCTAAACTGATAACCTGCTTAACGCCACCTCTCAGCTCTGCCTGTCCTTGTTCTGCACCTGAGTCCTGATAAAGCACTTTCCGGAAGCTTCTAAAACAAAAACAATTATCACAGCCTATTTAATAACAGAATAAAAGAGTTGGAAGGGACATTGGAGGTCTTCTAGTCCAACCCCCTGCTCAAGCAGGAGACTCTACAGCATTCCAGACAAACGGTTGTCCAATCTCTTCTTCAAATCTCCACCCACAATTTCTGGAGGCAAGCTGTTCCACTGGTTAATTGTTCTCACTGCCTGGAAATTTCTCCTTAGTTTTAGGTTGGAACTTTCGTTGATAAGTTCTTGGATTCCTAAAGTGTACTCAGAAACTTTGAACTTGGGTGTAGGGAGAAGAGCAGAACAGGAATAATACAGTTAGAAGGCAGCTTTGAAAGTCTTCTAGTTCAGGGCTCTTCAAACTTGGTCCTGTTATGACTTGTGGACCAATTCCCAGAATTCCTCAGCCAGGCACACGTGCCTGGCTGGGGAATTCTGGGAGTTGAAGTCCACAAGTCATAAAAGGGCCAAGTTTGAAGATCCCTGTTTTAGTCCAACCCTATTCCATTTCAGACAAATGGCTGTCCAATCTCTTCTTAAAAGTGTTGGCGGATTCACTGCTTCTGGAGGCAGGTTGTTCCACTGGTTAACTGTTCTAACTGTCAGGAAGTTTCTCCTTAATTCCAGGTTTGCTTCTCTCCTTGATTAGTTTCCATCCGTTGCTTCTTGTCCTGCCTTCAGGCGCTTTGGAGAATAGCTTGACTCCCTCTTCTTTGGGGCAGCCCCTGAGATATTGGAACACGGCTATCATGTTCCCCCTTGTCCTTCTCTTCATTAAATGAAACATACCCAATTCCTGAAACTGTTCTTTATAAGTTTTAGCCTCCAGTCCCCTAATCAACCTAGAACTAAGAAGACATTTCCTGACGGTGGGAACAATGAATCAATGGAACGACTTGCTTCCAGAAGCTGTGAATGCTCCAACACTGGAAGTTTTTAAGAAGAGATTGGAAAATCATTTGTCTGAAATGGTATAGGGTTTCCTGTCTGAGCAGGGGGTTGGACTAGATGACCTCCAAGGTCCCTTCCGACTGTTATTCTATCCTAGTCATCCGTGTTGCTCTTCTCTGCACTCTTTCCTAGAGTCTCAACATTTATTTTATATCGTGGTGACCAAAACTGGGCCCAATATTCCAAGTGTGGCCTTACTAAAGCTTTATAAAGGGGTATTAATACTTCATGTGATCTTGATTCTATCCCTCTGTTAATGCAGCCTAGGACTGTGTTGCCTTTGTGTTTTTCTTCATCATCCATCTTCTTCATCCTCTTTCTCTTCATCACCCCCACCCCACCAAAAGAACCACCGAAGCCTCCTTGGAATCAAAGCTAGCATTTATGCTAGGATCCAATCCTCCACTTAGCCATTTCTGGTTACCAAGAAAAAGATTTGCCTACCGCTAGCAGTGCGTTTGCTGAGCAACGGGAACAGGTCCAGCCTTCATTCACAAGATCCGGGCGTATCCCGTAGCAACCTATAACAAAAATAAAATAAATAAAAATAAAATGAAGTATCAAACTGGGGGGAAAAAGCGCTGGAAGACAAGAACAACACAATCGTTTAAAAATCCCTTGTACGCAGCTCTTTCACAAGGCATTTAAATCAAACTCAATAAAAGGTGAATGTTCTTTCTTCGTTCTTCGTCAGCAAAAGGAGGCGCAACAACACAAAGAGGAAATATATAAACAGCGCATCTCTTGGGAGGCTTCGTGTTTTCCCGAAAATAAGACCCGGTCTAGTTTAATGAAGAGAAGGACGAGCGGGGACATGATAGCAGTGTTCCAATATCTCAGGGGCTGCCCCAAAGAAGAGGGAGTCAAGCTATTCTCCAAAGCACCCGAAGGCGGGAGAAGAAGCAATGGATGGAAACTCATCAAGCCAACACAGTGCTGGGCTGCATTAACAGAGGGAGAGAATCAAGATCGCGTGAAGTATTAATACCACTTTACAAGGCCTTGGTAAGGCCACACTTGGAATACTGCATCCAGTTTTAGTCACCACGATGTAAAAAAGATGCTGGGACTCTAGAAAGAGTGCAGAGAAGAGCAACAAAGAGGATTAGGGGATTGGAGGCTAAAACATATAAGGAAAGGCTGCTGGAATTGGGGATGTCTCGTTTAATGAAGAGAAGGACAAGGGGTGACAGGATAGCAGTCTTCCAATATCTCAGGGGCTGCCCCAAAGAAGAGGGAGTCAAGCTATTCTCCAAAGCGCCTGAAGGCAGGACGAGAAGCAACAGATGGAAACTCATCAAGGAGAGAAGCAACCTAGAATTAAGGAGAAACTTCTTGACAGTGAGAACAATTAACCAGTGGAACAACCTGCCTCCAGAAGCAGTAAATGCGCCAACACTGGAAGTTTTTAAGAAGATACTGGACAGCCATTTGTTTGAAATGGTATAGGGTTTCCTGCCTGAGCAGGGGGTTGGACTAGATGACCTCCAAGGTCCTTTCCAATTTTATCATTATGTCCAGAGTCGCTTGATAGAGAGATGGGCAGCATGTACATTTAATAGATAAAATAGTTCTTCTGTCCAAGCCCCAGGAGAAAACAGTCTTCAGTGTGTCATTTCTGAATGTTTTCTTTGGGAAGATAGAAGAGACAGGGTCCCCCCCCCCGAAGTATGTGTGAAAAAATATTTAAAGAATTCTAAACAAAAGGTAAGACTGAATAATTTGACTTCAGAGGCAACTATGGGAGTTACACATGGTCCTCAAATTACAACAGTTCATTTGGTGTCCATCTGAAGTTATAACGGCATTGAAAAAAGTGACTTAGGACTGTTTTTCATACTTACGACCATTGCATGGTCATGTGATCAAAACTCAGATGGTTGGCAACCGACTCACATTTATGACGGTCTCAGGGTGCCGGGGTCTTGTGACCCCCTTCTGCGACCTTTTGACAAGCAAAGTCAATGGGGGAAGCCAGATTCACTTAACAACCTATAATAATTATTATCCCATGTAAACAAAGGCCAGGTACTTATTATCATATCTGGTGGACATGCCCTAAACCTAAAGCAAAAAAGTTTTGGCTTAAGATACACGCATGATTGGGAAAGATGACTAAAAAACAGATAGATTTTTAAACCAGACCTGTTTTTGTTAGGAATATTAGGAGCTAATTATGAGAAGGAGAGCGACTATTTAATATTACATGTATTAACAGCAGCGGGAATTGCATTTGCCCAATATTGGAAAAATAAAAATTTACCAACTGAAGAAGTATTAATCAAGAAAATTCTAGAAGGTGCAGAAATGGATAGATTGACTTTAGAGATTAAAGAGAAAGAAGATTCAGTTTACTTTAAAACATGGGATAATTTCTATCAATGGCTAGGAAAACGAATTAGGGAATGTGATATGTTATTTTGAATCCATACTAATAAGAAGAATGTTATGGATTGATTAACTAATACTGTTTAGGATAACCAATTATACTCACCACTGTTGTCTATTACTATGTTAATTATTGTTAACTATACATATGTACCCAGACAATATTCTGTTTGCAAAACATTGAAAATGTTATTGGGGGATAACCCCAATGTTGACTCTAACCCTGTCCTAATGCCAACCCTAACCCCATTCCCGACCCCATTTTATTCCTAACCCTATAAAATCCAATCAAATTCTTTTAAAAAAATAATTATTATCCCAGAGGCCAAAGGGAGCTTTCGTTAATTATATTAACGTTTAACGAAGAGAAGGACAAGGGGGGACATGATAGCAGTCTTCCAGTATCTCAGGGGCTGCCCCAAAGAAGAGGGAGTCAAGCTGTTTTCCAAGGCACCTGAAGGCAGGAGAAGAAGCAACGGATGGAAACTGATCAAGGAGAGAAGCAACCTAGAACTAAGGAGAAACTTCCTGACAGTGAGAACAATTAATCAGTGGAACAACCTGCCTCCAGAAGCGGTGAATGCTCCAACACTGGAAGTTTTTAAGAAGAGACTGGACAGCCATTTTTCTGAAATGGTATAGGGTTTCCTGCCTGAGCAGGGGGTTGGACTAGATGACCTCCAAGGTCCCTTCCAACTTTACTACTATTACTATTACTATATACATTTCCTTCCAATCTCTTTTCTTTTCCCTTCTGTCAACAGAAACCTATAGAAGGGCACCTTCGCGTGCCGGAATTTGTGATTAATTTAAATAAATAATTCCTTAAAAAAAAAAAAAAAAAAAAAGAGCCGGCGGGCTGTTCCTGGGAAAGCTGATTAGAAAGCCGAAATGCAATCTGTGGGTCTCGCCCGAAACAGTTCTATGAAACTCAACGGCTTTGTGAAGGAAGAAAGCAGGACGCTTCAAGTCCTGATTTCTTGCTTCGTGACCACGAAAAAAAAAAAAAGAGAGAATTTGCGCACGGCAGAAAACTCATCTTTTGGAAGAAAAGATGCGTTTTGAGAAAAAGACCAACCCCCCCCCCAAAAAGAGCCGAAGAAGCGAGGTGCTTTGAGGAACGAGAGGAAAATGGCTAGAAACCCACAGAGCTTGGGCAATGGACCACCGCTGGGTAGAATTTGGGTTCTGCCTTTTAAGAGACGGATGGCCCAGTTGGGGATAGACAGGTCGGTTCACATTTGAGTTGTTTTTTTAATAGAGCTAATCAGCCAGGCGGAGCTTGCAGCAAATTGCTGCAAGGCACTTTCTCGTTGTTACCCTTTGTCCCGATGTTTCTCCATCGATCGCGGCAAGTTTAAGATGGGGTGGATTTCAACACCCAGAATTCTCCAGCTAGCCCGTTCCGTCTTTCTTCTTTCGCTTCCTGCCTGCCTCCCTATTAATCCCTACTCCCTCCCTCCCTTCTTCTCAATTTTTGCTTTTCTTCTCCTTCAGCTTTTAATTTTAGCATTGTATCCCAAGCCTCCTACAGAGCCCAATTAATTCATGTGCTACCCACCCTCCCTTTCTCCCTTCCCATTTTTTTCTTTTCCCTTCTCCATCTCCTTCCTTCCCATTTCTTTTCCCTTCTCCATTTCTCCTTTTTTCTTTTCCTTCCTCCCCGTTTCTTTCCCCTTCTCCATTTCTCCTTCCATCCTTTTTCTTTTTCCCTTCTCCATTTCTCCTTCCATCCTTCCATCCTTTTTCTTTTTTCCCTTCTCCATTTCTCCTTCCTTCCTTCCTTCCTATTTCTTTTCCTTTCTCCATTTCTCCTTCCTTCCTTCCCTTCCTCCCATTTCTTTTCTTTTCCCTTCTCCATTTCTTTCTTCCTTCCTTCCCTCCCATTTTTTTCCTTTCTCCATTTCTCCTTCCTTCCTATTTCTTTTCCCTTCTCCATTTGTCCTTCCTTCCTCCCTCCCTCCCATTTCTTTTATTTTCCTTTCTCTATTTCTCCTTCCTTCCTATTTCTTTTCCCTTCTCCATTTCTCCTTCCTTCCTTCCCTCTCTCCCATTTCTTTTCTTTTCCCTTATCCATTTCTCCTTCCTTCCTTCCTTCCTTCCTTCCTTCCTTCCTTCCTTCCTTCCTTCCTTCCTTCCTTCCTTCCTTCCTTCCTTCTTTCCCTCCCTCCCTCCCTTGGGGGAAGAGAAATGAGAAAGCAAGGTGCAGATTATGTAGAGAGGCCTCAGTACAACACGCAGTGACAGGGTATAAGATGCAGGTAAGGAGTAGCATGCACTGAACGCTACAACCCAGTGGCTGGTGTTGCGTGCAGGAATATCTGCAGAGTGTCTGGGTGTCCAGGCCTTCCTAAGTCCCGATGGGAGAGCCCACGTATCCCACGATAGACGCAGCCGGGCCAAGAGACAGCAACATCGGGAAAGAGGATGAGGAAAACCCGGGGGAACTACCAGGAGGAACCAGAGAGGATGGAGAAAGTCAAGGCCAAAGTGATCCCAGTGGCAACAAGAGAGTGCTTCCAACAGATCCCAGGATCAATATCAGAAGAGGACATTGTTAGGAACAGCTAACATCTGGTCCAGAACACTCAAACTCCCAAGTCTCCAGAGTGAACAGGTTTTTTTTTTCTTTTTTGGAGGAAGGAGGAAGTTCCTAATCTTGAGAAGTGTAAAGTAAAGGACCAACCTATCTCCCTGATGTCTTGGGGGCTCCATGCCTGGAGCTTATTTTTTTCAATAGTAACTTGATTAAAAATCAGAAAGGGTCAACCTCTTCTCCAAAGCCCCTGAAAGCAGAACAAGAAGCAACGGATGGAAACTCCTCAAGGAGAGAAGCAACCCAGAACTAAGGAGAAACTTCCTGACAGTCAGAACTATTAACCAGTGGAACTACCTGCCTCCAGAAGCTGTGATTGCTCCAACACTGGACGTTTTTAAGAAGAGACTGGACAACCGTTTGTCTGCAAGGGTATAGATCTCCTGCTTGAGCAGGGGGCTGGACTAGATGACCTCCAAGGTCCCTTCCCACTCTGCTACCCTGTTAAAGAAGGGAATCCCGTTCGACGTGGGGGATGAACAGGTCATTTTGGGCAAGAGAACACAGGCAGAAAAGTCGCCGCAGCATATAATCAGGACGCAGGCACTTACTGGCGTGGACTTGGAGGCAGCATTTGGCACAGGAGATCAACAAGCTGCTCCCATCGTCTCCGATGTAGGAGTTGGACGGGACGGGCTCCGTGTTCTCACTGCTTGAGGTGAAGCACATTTCTGGGACCAGAGGCCTGGTCTTCTGCCCGTTTTTAAAAGGCGGCTGGAGTGAGGGGTTTTCAGCACCTCTCTCCTTTTCCATCGGCAAGACCTTGGAGCAAAAAAAATAAATAAATCCACATTATCCAAATTATTATTGCAAGGGAATCCATCTCTCTTTAACCCACCGGAGAAGTGAAAACTAAGCTATTTGGGAACGTGTTTGTCTCCGCAGCAATAAAGGAATTATTTCCCGCGGTTATTATACGTTGCCCTCTCGGCTTTCGTTTTGGTTTGAGCGGGACGTTTTGCTGCCCGTCGTAGTGAGCGTAGCGAACTCGGAGTACCGCTTTATTCCCTGGACCTCTTTTAAAGCTATAAAAGAAGTTTGAAAGCACCTGTTCTCCTTTTTAAAACGAAAGTCCTTGGCAAATCAGAATTTCTTTTTTTTTTTATAACAAGTTTTTATTGGTTTTCCAGTTTTACATTTAAGTATTTGGAAAGCAGCGTGGTGATTGGGCAGTCAATAGCACAATAACAAAATCTTTAGTACGTATCTCTGGTTACATCAAGGGTAGTCAGCCTTGGCTCTTTTATGACTCGTGGACTTCAACTCCCAGAATTCCTGAGCCAGCTAAGCTGGCTCAGGAATTCTGGGAATTGAAGTCCACGAGTCATAAAAGAGCCAAGGTTGACTACCCCTGGGTTACATCATCAAAAAATTCCTTCTCTATTTCCCTTAACATTTACCATATCATATTTAAGCGAATAGATTTCTAGTTGTAACAAGTTCAGTTACAACATTTATCCTCATATTTTTACTTATCCATATCCATATCCTGTGTTTAAATTTTACCTAATTTTTAATTAGAATGTTCCAATTTAACCTTTAACATCCAGAGTACTTAAATTTCGGGCAACCCAAATTTCCTTTATTTCACTCTGTAAAAATTATAATATCTAAAATATACCTATTACTTACTTGAATATATTCTTATTTTCTTTCATAAGCATTTTCTATTTCTCATCCCAGTACATCATCACTTTACAAATGGAGGTCTCAAATCCATCATCTTTGATTTTGAATCAATTTCTTTGATTTTTAGTTAAGGAGAACAAGTTGGGACCATATCGTGGTCTCAATCGTTTGGGTTTATCCACTGCCTAGAATTGCATTAAATCAAATTCTAGAGATTGAATCAAATGCAATTCGACCTCTAAGATTTGGTTTGGAGAGTAGCAACTCCTTTTCCTAACTCAAAAGGTGCTTTTTTCCAAAAAAGCAACTGGATTTCCTTGAGTTTTTTTCCCTTTGAAATCCTTTCATTTCTCACCCAAGAAGCTTCTTCAGTTCTGAAGAAATGAACTGAATGGAAGAAGCTTCTTGGATGGGAAGCGAAACGATTTCAAGGAAAAAAACAAAAACAAAACCAAGAAAGTCCAGTTGCCTTTTGGAAAAGCACTTTTGGGACAACGGTGACCTGGATGATGGGAGAATCTCCACAGACACCTCTCTTTCCCGGTTTGTTCACAGGATTGAAAAGCTGGCCCTTTTCAAATTTGCTGGTGGTCAGCGCACAGAGGGAATTTCAGTAGAGAAAAATCCATACCCCTCCCCCAATTAAAAGGTGACCGAACAGTTATTATCTAGAATAAGATCTCTCCCAATCTGGATTCAGACCCAATGTGATGACCCAGGGCACAGCGCCGAGGCAATGCAGTCAGCTGGCAATTCAAACCGCCCTTTAATTGCTCCAAATTTTCCCCAAATGCTCCCACATGTCTGGCAAGCCTCCAAACACAGGAAGACACACACACCTCTGGCTGCAAGTAGTTTCACATACGGCCTGATTTTACTCGAGGAATTTACTCGAGGCTGTGGCTGCTGACGGACACTGTCAGCCCCCATGCGCTCGCTGGCCTCTGTGTGCAGGGCTGATGGTGTCAGGCAGCAGCCGCCCTGGCCCCTGCCTCGCCTTGCCCTGTGACAATGGCATCCCCGCCCTGCCTCGCCTCGCTTCACCCCGCAGGACTCCTGCCCACTGCCCCACCTGCCAGAGACTCCCTGGATCTCTGCCTGGACCCCACAGGCATCCCTCCCCATGAGCAACATCGAGGTGACCACGCCCACCTTGGCCACACTCACCCAGTCTGCCATGACCACCCCAGCCACGCCCACCCAGTGGGCCATGCCCACCTGGCACCCGGCCATAAATAGGTGGGTTTTTGGTTGCAGTTTGAGCACTCGGTCTCTAAAAGATTCGCCATCACTGAGCTAGACCAGGGCTTTTCAACCAGTGGTACGGGTACCACCTGTGGTACATGGGCACCTGGCAGGTGGTACGCGACCATCCTAGAAAAGTGGTAGCGGGGGAGGGGAATGAGCTGAACCGGTGGCAGCACCGCACAAGCCTGAGCGAGAGACGGCTGGAGCTGCAGGGCTGTCAGGGCTCAAGGGAAGCGCCAGGATCAGTGCCGTTTTCCAGCTGATCGGCGCTTCTTCGGGGCTGTCGGGGCTCAGCGGAAGCACCAGGATCAGCGCCAGGCTCCAGCTGGAAAGCAGCACTGATCCTGGCGCTTCTGCTGAGCCCAGAAGAAGCGCCGATCAGCTGGAATGTTGCAGCCTCTCCAGGGTCTTGTGATTTACATTCAGAAGCCTGGCAACTGATTCATATTTATGACGGTCACAGTGTCCCAGGGTCATGTGAAGTGACCAAAACCTGCTGCAACCACCCAGCAGACGGGGGAGAATAAAAACCAAACACCCCCCACCCCATCCCCGCTGCCAATCCTCAACAGAAATGCTCACAACAATGAAAACCTTGGACAGGAGGAAGAGCGCCACCGGGTGGGCAGGCAGGCGTCTTGCTCGACTGTGGCTTGGGGGGCACTTTTTTCAGTGCCATTGTAACTTCAAACAGTCACTAAGCGAACTGTTATAAGTTGGGGACGACCTGTACTTCATCACTTTTTCCCCTTTTTTGGGGGGGGGGTCATCAAGTTTTTGACACCTTGCTAGACTAGACAACTGGTGGTACTCGGATGGTGCCATATCCTCAAAGTGGTACAGTGGGTGAAAAGGTTGAAAAGCCCTGAGCTAGATAATATTATTATTATTGTACCGCCTTGACTCATTTCATTGTCCCAAGGGCTGTTCTGGGCATGGGTGTCCTTCCTTGAAAAAAAAAAACAGGACCACCATTTGGGAGTCCTCCTGGCTTTGGCGCTTCTGCCGAGCGCAGAGGCGGAAGCTGTGACCAAGGGGGACTTTGTCCAATTGAGACTGGTGCACCAGTTATGGACTTTCCTGGATGGTTAAAGCCTGGAAGAAGGGGAATTTTGTCCTTATCACCACAGATTTAGGCTACTGTAAAACGCTCTACCTGGGACTGCATTGGAAGGCGACTGAAAAACAGCAGTTAAAAAAAAAAACAAAAAAAAAAACACAACGCAACGCAGTGGCCAGGATGGCTGAGAGCCAAGCCTGCAATATGACAACGACTGTCCAATGGCTGCAGAGCTAGCTGACACATTGCGGAATCCAAACTGCTGGTTTTGGCCCATAAATTTCTTATTTAGTTCAACTCCGGGACAGTTCTGGCCAGCCCAGAACGACAAAGCTGCTGCAGCGATTCGTGGTCAAAACTTGTAAAAAAGTCAAGGTACCGTAAGCTGCACCGCCATCGAAAGCTCACTGGGGAGACTTGACTGAATGACCTTGAAAGAACAGGGGGGCTTGTCTAAGCAAACACAAGCAAAGTGATAGTAGGGAGGTGCTTCCCCCCCCCCAAAAGCAACTGGAGTTTTTCCCTTGAAGATGTTTCGCTTCTCATCTAAGAAGCTTCTTCAGTACTGACTGAAAGGTGGAGGAAGGAAGGATTTATATTCCTTGCAGACAGCTGGTCATTCGCATTTTTTTGAGAGAGTCGCTGAGGCCACTTGGAGGTTTATTTGTCTCCTCAGGGTCACCTGAGTGATGCAAATGGGGGTGGGGGCCTTCTTGGAACTGCTGAAAGGACTCTGTTGTATACAGGACGTAGGTAATAATAATAATAAAGTTGGAAGGTGGTGTCCTATCCCTCCCCTTATATAATAATAATAATAATAATAATAATAATAATAATAATAATATATTGTAATGGAGTTTGGCTTGGACAAATGTGCCACACTTACTATCAAACAAGGAAAAATAATGAAAACTGAAGGAATCAAGATGCCCCACGAAAATAACATTAAGAGTCGGGATGAGGAAGAGTACTACAAATACTTGGGTATCCTTCAAGCTGACAACATCAAGCACACTGAAGTCAAGAAAAAGATTAGAGGTGAATACATCAAGAGAGTGAAGAAGATCTTAAAATCCAAACTCAATGGAGGAACTACCATAAAGGCAATCAACACCTGGGCAATCCCAGTCATTAGGTACACAGCTGGAATAGTGAACTGGACTCAAGCAGAACTAAAAGCAATGGATAGGCAGACCAGAAAAATAATGACAATGAATCATGCCCTTCATTCACGCAGTGACATTGATAGACTTTATCTACCAAGGCAAATAGGTGGGCGTGGAATGCTACAAGTACATCATATGGTTGAAGAAGAAAAAATGGCTTTGGAAGAATATCTGAAGAACAATGATGAAGATGCACTGAAATTAGTATATCAGGAAGACTTACTAACTACTGGAGAAACCAAACTGGCCTACAAGAAAGACCAAACGAAGAACAGAATAGAGGCATGGGAAGACAAAGCACTACATGGCCAATACATGAAAAAAATAGCTGGGAAAGCAGATAATAATAAAACCTGGCAATGGCTAAGAGCAGGAAAATTGAAGAAAGAGACGAGGGACTAATTCTGGCTGCACAAGACCAAGCCTTAAGGACAAATGCATACAAAGTCAAAATTGAGAAGACAGCAACAGACAGTAAGTGCCGCCTATGCAAGAAGCTGAAGAAACAGTGGACCACTTGGTAAGCTGTTGCAAGAAGATTGCACAAACTGATTACAAGCAGCGGCATGACAAAGTAGCAACAATGGTGCATTGGAAGATCTGCAAAAAATATAATTTGACTGTAAGCAAAAACTGGTGGGATCATAAAATAGAGAAAGTCATAGAAAATGATAAAATTAAACTGCTCTGGGACTTCAGAATTCAAACAGACAAGCACCTGCAACATAACACCCCAGACTTAACAATTGTCGATAAGAAAGACAAAAAAGTCTGGATAATGGACGTGGCAGTGCCTGGAGATAGCAGAATAGAAGAGAAAGAACTGGAGAAGATAACAAAATACAAAGACCTACAAATAGAAATAGAAAGACTGTGGCAAAAGCAAGCAAGGGTAGTACCAATAGTCATAGGCTCCTTGGGTGCAATCCCAAAACAACTGGAGCACCACTTGAACACCATTGGCATTGACAAATTCGCTATTAGTCAATTGCAAAAGGCGGCCTTACTAGGAACTGCTTCCATCCTGCGACGATATTTGTAATACCATCAAACATCCACATCTGCCTATCCCAAGTCCTGGGTAAGGACTCGATAGGTAGACAAAATGCCAAATCCAGTCTGAACATCTGGCTGACTGTGCGATGATCGATATAATAATAATAATAATAATAATAATGATGATGATGATGATGATAAAGTTGGAAGGGACCTTGGAGGTCATCTAGTCCAGCCCCCTGCTCAGGCAGGAAACCCTATACCATTTTGGACAAATGGCTATCCAGTTTCTTCTTAAAAACTTCCAGTGTTGGAGCATTCACCGCTTCTGGAGGCAGGTTGTTCCACTGGTTAATTGTTCTCACTGTCAGGAAGTTTCTCCTTAGTTCTAGGTTGCTTCTCTCCTTGATCAGTTTCCATCCGTTGCTTCTTCTCCTGCCTTCAGGGGCTTTGGAGAATAGCTTGACTCCCTCCTTTTTGGGGCAGCCTCTCAAATACTGGAAGACTGCTATCCTGTCCCCCCTCGTACTTCTCTTCATTAAACTAGGCATACCCAATTACAGCAGCCTTTCCTTATATGCTTTAGCCTCCAGTCCCCTGATTATCTTTGTTGCCCTTCTCTGTACTCTAGTTTCTAGAGTCTCAACATCTTTTTTACATCGTGGTGACCAAAACTGGATGCCGGATTCCAAGTGTGGCCTTACCAAGGCCTTGTAAAGTGGGATTAACCCTTCACCTGATCTTGATTCTATCCCTCTGTTAATGCAACTTAGCACTGTGTTGACTTTTTTGGCAGCTGCAGCACACGGCTGGCTCATATTTAAATGATTGTCCACTAGGACTCCGAGATCCCTCCGAGATCCCTCCTTCTGTTGAGAGAGGGCTGTTCAATTTTTACCTAGAAAAGGGCCAAGTTTGAAGACCCCTGCTTGTGGACTTCAACTCCCAGAATTCCTCAGCCAGGCATGCTGGCTGAGGAATTCTGGGAGTTGAAGTCCACAAGTCACAAAAGGGCCAAGTTTGAAGACCCCTTACCTTATTACAAGCAAAGCCAATGGGGGAAGCCGGATTCGTTGGACAGCTGTGTGATGAAAGTAACAGCTGTGTGGGTCCCCTGAACAATTGAGGCATGAAAAGTTGCAAAGGGGGACAAAATCCACTGAACAAATGTTTCACTTAGCAACTAAGATTCGGGGCTCAGCTGCGGTCATTAAATTGAGGACCGCCTGTACCACATCACAGTCCAAGTGGACTTCAATTCCCAGGATTCCCCAGAATTCAACAAGGCTGAAGTCCAGGCAGCTGAAAGTTGCCAGTGCTGGGGGGAAAAAAAATACCACACACACAAAAAAACCCCCACTGTTCCTATTAAAAGACCAGGAGCAGCCTTACCTGCACAAATACCCCGCAAAATTGTAAATACACGCCCTTTGCCGAGTGCTCAAATCTTGATCACACGACTGTGGGGACGCTCCGACGGGTGTTAAGCGAGAGTTAACAAGTGCCGCTGCAGCTTCGAACCGCCGCTAAACGAATCGCTGTAAATGGAGGACCGCCTGTATCCAGGACAAGCTGCAACCATTACCTGATTATAGGGGTAGAAGAGAGTGCAAATGGCACAGTAGGGCTCCCTCAGGGCGGCGGCCGCATTGAACCGTCTTTCCGCTGCAAAGTTGGGGGCTTTGTTTTTCCACTGGATGGAAAGTAAGGACTTCAGGGGCTCCGGATCGCCGGCGTCTTCCTCGCCACTGAACAGGGGAGTTTCTGAAAGACAAGACGGGCCAAGAAGGGGAAAGTTCGCATCTCCCCCAAAGAAGCTGAAATGGTGAACCTCAATATGGACGTTTGGGCTTTTACTGGGTTTTCTGCAGATAACATTTGAGATTCTGTTGTTGTTTGTTTCTGATTCCTAAAGGGTACTCAGAACTTTTTAATTTGGGTGTAGGGAGAGGAGACTAGACCACCCTAGAACAGAGCAGGACAGAACAATACAGTTAGAAGGCACCTTTGAAGGCCATCTGGTCCAACCCCCTGCTCAGGTAGAAAACCCTATGCCAGGGGTAGGCAACCTTGACTCTTTTCTGACTCGTGGACTTCAACTCCCAGAATTCCTGAGCCAGCCACACTGAGGGGAAAGGGAGAGGTTTCCAAGCTGAGCCATGCTGGCTCAGGAATTCTGGGAGTTGAAGTCCACGAGTCATGAAGGGGCCATAGTTCCCCCATGCTGGCTCAGGAATTCCGGGAGTTGAAGTCCACAAGTCATAAAAGAGCCAAGGTTGCCTACCCCTGGCCTATACCATTTCAGACAAGTGACTGTCCAGTATCTTCTTAAAACTTTCCACTGATGGTGCACTCACAACTTCTGGATTAATTGTTAATTGTTCTCACTGTCAGAAAATGTCTCCTTAGTTCTAGGTTGCTTCTCTCCTTGATCAGTTTCCATCCGTTGCTTCTTGTCTTGTTTTCTGGTGCTTTGGAGAATAGGTGGACCCCCCCTTCTTTGGGGCAGCCCCTGAAATACTGGAAGACTGCTATCCTGTCCCCCCTCATCTTTCTTTTCACCAGACAAACCCAATTCCTGCGATCGTTCTTCATATGTTTTAGCCTCAGGTCCTTTAATCATCTTTGTTGCTCTTCTCGGCACTCTTTCCAGAGCCTCGACAACTTTTTTGTATTGTGGTGACCAAAAGTGGATGTAGTATTCCAATTGTGGGATAAAAAAGGGAAGTGTGTGGCTTTCTTGTGTAATGGAGCAACTTAATACGGTTGCCCTTTTTTGGATTCTTTCCTGTTTGGTTCGAGAAACAGCCAATAAATATTTGTGCTATAGTTTTTCAATGTCTGTTAAGCCTCTAAGTCCTGTTTGGTGGGACAGGTGACATACAAGTTTGACTGGAAAGAAAGAAAGAAAGAAAGAGAGAGAGAGAGAGAGAGAGAGAGAGAGAGAGAGAGAGAAAGCAAAAAAAGAAAGAAAGAGACAAAGAAAGAGGCAGGCAGGCAGGGAGGCAGGGAGGCAGGCAGGCAGGCAGGAAGGAAGGAAGGAAGGAAGGAAGGAAGGAAGGAAGGAAGGAAGGAAGGAAAGTTCAGAACTAGGCCCCAAATGGACCGAGCAATCTTCAAAAAGATCAGCTTTCTGAAAGTGGAACAGTTGTGCTTTTTAAAGCCAACTGGCTGAACCATTCCTCCAGGAATTTGGAAGGACTAAAATAAAGATCAAAAGGGAGAAAGAGAGCCAGAGAGAATGCCTCCCAATTAACTTAGAACAGAAATTATATCAGTTTCCATTTTCTTAACAACATAATCTGACTTACATCTCCAAGACTGCTTAAAGTAATTTTTTTAAAAAAAAATCCTTATGATCAAATTCAAACTTTCAAACACCAGCTATCCATCACAAGGGCTCTTAAAAGCAAATGTCGGGGTTAGCTAAATCTAAGTAGACCAACTCCGATTCCCAAACGTCAAGGCAAAAGGAAGCAAGACTACCTTAGCAGAGATTCTTATCTGTCTTATCAGCTTTCGACTTGGCTAGGCTCTATCAAAAGGGTGGATGGTAGCAAATAAGAGCCTTCTAAGGCACTGGGCCAATCACTGGGAGACGGTGAATTCTAGTCCCACCTTAGGTGTGAAAGCCGGCTGGGTGACTTTGGACCAATCACCAGGGGACGGTGAGTTCTAGTCCCACTTAGGCATGACAATCAGGTGGGGGATTTTGGGCCAATCCCCCTCTCTCAGCCCAACACACAACTCAGAATTGTTATTGTGGGGGAAATAGGAGAAGGAAGGAATGTTCTGTATGTTCATCGGCCCTAGGTTATTTATGGTAATAATAATGAAGGGAGGATAAAAACTTAATAAGAAAAGAGAAAAGAGAAGGAAGAGGAGAAGAAGAGGAGAGGAGGAGGGGAGGGAGAAGGGAAGAAAGGAGGGGATGGGAAAGGGAAGGGGAGAGAGGAGAGGAGCAGGAGAGAAGGGAAGGTAAGAAAGGAGGGAGGGAGGGAGGAGAGGAGGGGAGAGGAGGGAAGGGAGGACGGTAGAGGAGGGAAGGGAGGAAGAAGAGGAGAGGAGGGGAGAGGAGGGAAGAGGGGAGAGAGAAGAGAAGGGAAGAAAGGAGGGGATGGGAAGGGGAGAGAGGAGAAGAGCAGGAGAGGAGGGAAGAAAGAAGGGGAGGGCAGGGAGGAGAGGAGGGGAGGAAAGGGAAGAGAAGAAGAGGAGGGGAGGGAAGGGAGGAGAGAAGGAAAGGAAGGAGGGGATGGGAAGGGGAAGGAAGAAAAGGAGCGGGAGAGCAGGGAAGGTGAGATGAGAGGAAAGGAGCAGGAGAGAAGGGGAGAAATAAGGGGAGGAGAGGGGAGGGGAGAGGAAAGGAGAGGAGGGGAAGAGAGGAGGGGAGAAGAGAGGAGGGGAGGGGAAGAGAGGAAGAGAAAAGAGGAGAGGAAGGGAGGGGAGGAGAGAAGAGGAAGGGGAGAAAGAAGGGGAGGAGAGGGGAGAGAAGAGAAGGGGAGGAGGGGAGAGGAGAGGAGGGGAGAAAAGGAGGGGAGAGGAGGGGAAGGGAAGAGAGGAGGGGAGGAGAGGAGAGAAGAGAGAAGAGGAAGGGAGGAGGGGAAGAGAGGAGAGAAGAAAAGGGAGGAGAGGAGAGGAGAGGAGAGGAAGAGGAGAGGAGGGGAGAGGAGGGGAAGGGAAGAGAGGAGGGGAGGAGAGAAACGGAGGAGGGGAAGAGAGGAGAGAAGAAAAGGGAGGAGAGGAGAGGAGGAGGAGAGGAGGGGAAGGGAAAAGAGGGGAGGAGAGGAGAGGAGGAGAGGAAGGGAGGAGGGGAAGAGAGGAGAGAAGAAAAGGAAGGAGAGGAGAGGAAGGGAGAGGAGGGGAAGGGAAGAGAGGAGGGGAGGAGAGGAGAGAAGAGAGAAGAGGAAGGGAGGAGGGGAAGAGAGGAGAGAAGAAAAGGGAGGAGAGGAGAGGAGAGGAGAGGAAGAGGAGAGGAGGGGAGAGGAGGGGAAGGGAAGAGAGGAGGGGAGGAGAGAAACGGAGGAGGGGAAGAGAGGAGAGAAGAAAAGGGAGGAGAGGAGAGGAGGAGGAGAGGAGGGGAAGGGAAAAGAGGGGAGGAGAGGAGAGGAAGGGAGGAAGGGAGGAGGGGAAGAGAGGAGAGAAGAAAAGGAAGGAGAGGAGAGGAAGGGAGAGGAGGGGAAGGGAAGAGAGGAGGGGAGGAGGGGAGAGGAGGGGAAGGGAAGGGAGGAGGGGAAGAGAGGAGAGAAGAAAAGGGAGGAGGGGAGAGGAGAGAACAGGAGGGCCCTTATGACAGCATGTAAAATATTGAACCAAACCATTCACTCATATGAGCCCTCCCTGGCAATTCTCCTTGTCCTGCTCAAAAGTCTTGGCATTCTCTTGAGGCATTCAGGAACAGCTCTCGACACCCAGACGGCGCCGTGAGACTCCAGCCTCCGAGAAGCAACCATGCTCAGCCGCCAAGCCTCTTGGGTCAAAACCGCTCAGCCGCCAAGCCTCTTGGGTCAAAACCGGCCAGACCCACCAAGCGGGGATGAAGTTCAAGCCAGACAGAAGAGATAAAAGCCACCTGCTGCCTGCCATCCCCTTCAGCCTCCCCCCCCCCAATTCCCAAACTAATTGCTGCGGTGCAATCCATGCTCGCACAGCCAATTCTGCCAGGGAAGAGCCACCATCAAAGGAGAGGACCGGATGTCGTCCAGATGCGCAGGAAAAATGGAAGAGACGCTTTCTATCTCTTCATCTATCTGATGATGCAGGAAGGGGGTTTGGGGGTGGCATGGGGGGGGGAGACAAAGTGACTGGCAGAGGCAGAAAGGCACAAAGAGGCAGGGAGAGGTGGCTGGCTGCCACCAGCTGGTTGGCTACCATAGTAAAAAGAAGTTGCCTCAAAAGCTTTTATTTGAGGCTCAAATGTTCAACCCCCCCCCAAAAAAACCATGAAACTTGGTGAAACTTATTTATTTTTCATCCCACCTTTGTTACTTGGTAACAAGTAACTCTCCTCCCCTTATTTCTCCCCTTCCTCTTCTCCCCTCCCCTCCCTTCCTCTCCTCTCCTCCTCTTCTCTCTTCCTCTCTTCCCCTCCCCTCCTCTCTTCTCCCCTCCTCTCTTCTCCCCTCCTCTCCTTTCTTCCCCTCCTCTCCTTTCTTCCCCTCCCCTCTCCTCCCCTTATTTCTCCCCTTCTCTCCTGCTCCCCTCCTCTCCTTTCCTCCCCCCCACAACAACTGGGCTGAAATGGGCTCAAAGTCAGGTTTTTGTGTCTAAGGCAGGACTAGAACTCACCCTCTCCTGGTGACTGGCCCAAAGTCACCCAGTCATCTTTCATGCCTAAGGCGGGACTAGAACTCACCGTCTCCTGGTGATTGGCCCAAAGCTACCCAGCTGACTTTTGTGACTAAGGGGGGACTAGAACTCACCCTCTCCTGGTAACTGGCCCAAAGTCACCCAGACAGCTGTCATATCTAAGGCGGGACTAGAACTCACCGTCTCCTGGTGACTGGCCCAAAGTCACCCAGTCATCTTTCATGCCTAAGGTGGAACTAGAATTCACTGTCTCCTGGTGACTGGCCCAAAGTCACCCAGCCAGCTTTCATGTCTAAGGCGGGACTAGAACTCACCATCTCCTGGTGATTGGCCCAAAGCTCTCAATTCTAAAGTCTCTTTGTTTCCTAGTCTGCTGCCTTAACCAGTAAACCAAATCAGCGCTGTAATTATTCTTTAGCAGAGAGAGAGAGGTATTTGATGACATTATTAAAGAACAGGAAAAAAAAATGATCTGCTGACACCCTATTGTACGTATTGTCTTTGTCTCTAGCACAAAGGGTAGCTCAAATACCTTTAACAAGAAGCTTTTAAAAAAAACAACACTAGAAATGTACTAGTCTGCTGGTGTTTTTATGACTCTGGTAAGATATTAAGCAGCCTGTGTTTTTGTCAAATAAAGCCCCCAGCTGGCAGTCTAATGGTGGGAAGAAGAGAAGGTGTCATCCCTTCACAATCCTCCCAGGTGGGCTTTGATGCTAACCGTGGTTTCTCGGCAGCCAGCAAAGATTTGGGCCTCCTGGCAAAAGAGGATTTGAAGGGATCTATAACCCCTCTTCCAGTCTTTGGGCTCTCTTCTGTGCGACTTGGTTGCCCAGGGCAACCGGAGGAATGACTTAAAACCCGGGACCGTTCAGAAGCATCCCCCCCTCCTCGTTTTTTTTGACTCACCTTCATCGCTGGAGGCTTCCTGCTTCACCACTGACAACGGGGAGCGGGTGGGCGGCTTCCCCAGGGGGTGACGGCGACTCTTCTTGATCTCCATTTTGAGTTTCGAGAAAGTAGAGGTCTTCTGGAAGAGGAGAAAAGCCAACAAGAAAGAAAGAAAGAAAGAAAGAAAGAAAGAAAGAAAGAAAGAAAGAAAGAAAGAAAGGAGGGAAAAAAGGAAAATATGGAGGGAGGGTGGGAGGAAGAAAGAAAGGAAGAAAGAAAGAAAGAAAGAAGGGAAAAAAGAAAGAAAGAAGGGAGGAGGAAGAAAAGAAGAAAGAAAGAAAAAAAGAAAGAAAGGAAGGAAAGAAAGAAGGAAAATATGGAGGGAGGGTGGGAGGAAGAAAGAAAGGAAGAAAGAAAGAAGGGAAAAAAGAAAGAAAGGAGGGAAGAGGAAGAAAAGAAGAAAGAAAGAAAGGAAAGAAAGAAAGGAGGGAGGAGAAAGAAAGGAAGGAAGGAAAGAAGGGAAGGAAGGAAAGAAAGAAAGGAGGGAGGAAGAAAGAAAGAAGGGAAGGAAGGAAGGAAAGAAAGAAAGAAAGAAAGAAAGGAAGGAGGGAGGGAAGGAAGAAAGAAAGGAAAGAAGGAAAATAGGGAGGAAGGGTGGGAGGAAGAAAGAAAGGAAGAAAGAAAGAAGGAAAGAAAAAAGGAAAGAAAGAAAGGAGGGAGGGAGGAGGAAGAAAGGAAGGAAGAAAGAAAGGAAAGAGAAGGGAAGGAAGGAAGGAAAGAAAGAAAGGAGGGAGGAGAAAGAAAGGAATGAAGGAAGGAAAGAAGGAAAGAAGGGAAGGAAGGAAAGAAATAAAGAAAGAAGGGAGGAAGAAAGGAAAGAAAGAAGGGAAGGAAGGAAAGAAAGAAAGGAGGGAGGAAGAAAGAAAGAAGGGAAGGAAGGAAGGAAAGAAAGAAAGAAAGGAAGGAGGGAGGGAAGGAAGAAAGAAAGGAAAGAAGGAAAATAGGGAGGAAGGGTGGGAGGAAGAAAGAAAGGAAGAAAGAAAGAAGGAAAGAAAAAAGGAAAGAAAGAAAGGAGGGAGGGAGGAGGAAGAAAGGAAGGAAGAAAGAAAGGAAAGAGAAGGGAAGGAAGGAAGGAAAGAAAGAAAGGAGGGAGGAGAAAGAAAGGAATGAAGGAAGGAAAGAAGGAAAGAAGGGAAGGAAGGAAAGAAATAAAGAAAGAAGGGAGGAAGAAAGGAAAGAAAGAAGGGAAGGAAGGAAAGAAAGAAAGGAGGGAGGAAGAAAGAAAGAAGGGAAGGAAGGAAGGAAAGAAAGAAAGAAAGGAAGGAGGGAGGGAAGGAAGAAAGAAAGGAAAGAAGGAAAATAGGGAGGAAGGGTGGGAGGAAGAAAGAAAGGAAGAAAGAAAGAAGGAAAGAAAAAAGGAAAGAAAGGAGGGAGGGAGGAGGAAGAAAGGAAGGAAGAAAGAAAGGAAAGAGAAGGGAAGGAAGGAAGGAAAGAAAGAAAGGAGGGAGGAGAAAGAAAGGAATGAAGGAAGGAAGGAAGGAAAGAAGGGAAGGAAGGAAAGAAATAAAGAAAGAAGGGAGGAAGAAAGGAAAGAAAGAAGGGAAGGAAGGAAGGAAGGAAAGAAGAAAGAAAGAAAGAAAGAAAGAAAGAAAGAAAGAAAGAAAGAAAGAAAGAAAGAAAGAAAAAAAAACAGAGCGCATTATTTTGCATAACTTACAACGGGAACAATACAGGTAGTCCTCGACTTACGACAGTTCGCTTGGTGACCGTTCAAAGTTACAACGGCACTGAAAAAAGGGACTGACGGCCGTCTTTCACACCTGCGACCGTTGCACCATCCCCAAGATCCACGTGATCAAAAGTGAGACGCTCGGCAACTGGCTCATATTTATGACCGTTGCGGCGTCCCCCGGGGGGTCACAGGATCTCCTTTTGGGACCTTCTGACAACCCGGGTGACTAACTTAACAACTGCAGTGATTCACTTAACAAGGGTGGCAAGGAAAGTCGTAAAACGGGGCAAAACTCACTTAACAAAGGTCTCGCCTAGCGACAGAAATTTGGGGCACCATGATGGGTCGTAAGTCAAGGACTATCTGTCACGGCCTTAGGATGAACAGCTCTAAGGTTAAACCCTCAATGCTTTTTTTAAAACAAAAAAAAAAAAACCTATTGTTTTGCAATCTTTTTCTGGTCTGCTTATCATCCGTTTTAGCCACAGACACTTATCCGTAGAAGAGAACCGTGGAGTTCTTGGAGCTCTCTTGAGTTTGGTTGCTGAAAACTTTTTTTTCCCAGAAGGATTGAAAAGAGTGGGAGAACCAAACCCCGGAAATGACACCGTGAGATGCAGTTGAATCCAGATTGATGTTTTTTTGCTGACACCTAATAGACAGAATCTATGCCAAATTAAAGAACGGTTGCAGGAATTGGGTACATCTAGTTCAGTGTTTCCCAAACTTGACAATTTTAAGGCATGAGGACTTCAACTCCCAGAATTCCACAGCCAGCGTTGCTGGCTGTGGAATTCTGGGAGTTGAAGTCCACATGCCTTAAAATTGTCAAGTTTGGGAAACACTGATCTAGTTGAATGAAGAGAAGGACGAGGGGGGACACGATAGCAGTTTTCCAACATCTCAGGGGCTGCCCCAAAGAAGAGGGAGTCAAGCCATTCTCCAAAGCGCCTGAAGGCAGGACAAGAAGCAACGGATGGAAACTGATCAAGGAGAGGAGCAACCTAGATAGTGCCTCTCTCTATTAGGAGTGGCAAAACTGGCTTCCCAATACAGGTATTGTTTAGTGGCCGTTCGAAGTTATGGCACTGAAAAAGGTGACATGACTGTTTTTCACCCTTACGACCCTTGCAGCTTCCCCCGTGGTCATGTGATCAAAATTCTAATGCTTGGCAACTGGTTCAAACTTTGATGAAAAGTTCTAGAATATAATAACAACAATAATAATAAAGTTGGAAGGAACCTTGGAGGTCATCTAGTCCAACCCCCAGCTCACGCAGGAAACCCTATGCCATTTCAGACAAATGGCTGTCCAGTCTCTTCTTAAAAACTTCCAGTGTTGGAGCATTCACCGCTTCTGGAGGCAGGTAGTTCCACTGGTTAATTGTTCTCACTGTCAGGAAGTTTCTCCTTAGTTCCAGGTTGCTTCTCTCCTTGATTAGTTTCCACCCGTTGCTTCTTGTCCTGCCTTCAGGCGCTTTGGAGAATAGCTTGACTCCCTCTTCTTTGGGGCAGCCCCTGAGATATTGGAAGGCTGCTATCCTGTCCCCCCTCGTCCTTCTCTTCATTAAACCAGACATACCCAATTCCAGCAACCGTTCCTTGTATGTTTTAGCTTCCAGTCCCCTGATCATCTTTGTTGCTTTTCTCTGCACTCTTTCTAGACTCTCAACATCTTTTTTACATCGTGGTGACCAAAACTGGATGTAGTATTCCAAGTGTGGCCTTACCAAGGCCTTGTAAATTGGTATTAACACTTCACCTGATCTTGATTCTGTCCCTCTGTTAATGCAGCCTAGTACTGTGTTGGCTTTCTTGACAGCTACAGCACACGGCTGGCTCATATTTAAGGGATTGTCCACTAGGACTCTGAGGTCCCTCTCACAGTTGCTACTATTGAGCCAGGTACCACCTCTAGCACTATACCTGCGTATTTGGTTTTTCTCGCCTAAATGTAGAACCTTACTTTTTTCACCACTAAATTTCATTTTGTTGGATAAGGCCCAATGTTCAAGTCTGTCAAGCTCCTTCTATCTCTTAAGTCTACCTTCTGGAGTGTTGGCTATTCCTGCAACTTCTCACTTAGCAACATAATTGGGGCTCAATTGTAGTCGTAAGTCGGGGGACACGGAACCACCATTTTGTGAGAGCATCTTAGAACTTCCACTCAAAAACATGCTTTAAAAAGGCTTTCCATTTTCCAGCCTTTCTGGTCCCACCAATTCCAGTTCAAATCCAGGTATCCCTTTGTCTCTCATCTTACAAATCCTGCGTTGTTTTCTGGGCAAATTGACAGATGCTCACCCTTGACACACCTACCTGCTCCCCTATATAGCGCAAGACATCTCTGTGTAAAGCCAGGCAACCGACTAGAGGTGAGAAACGCTTTATCAGAAAGCAAATGTTGCCTAGCACTAAGGATTCAGCATTGTTAAAGCAGTGAATGTACAATATTCAGCGTTTTTTAAAGTGCCCAATTTTGTCCCGGAGAAGCCTTGACGTCTCATATCTTCATTATTTTGCAGAATTATCCAAAACACCCAACAAGGTTTCTTCCCCACTTGTATCAAGAAAAAAGCACATTCCCCCCCCCCTTATCGTTTACTCTAAAACTAGTGTCAATCACTCTATTAGTAAAGCATACAAAATTCTTGGAACCTTGATGGTGTAACTTAAATTAAATCTGCACGTTATCACCGGGCCACACGAAATATACAGGTAGTCCTTGACTTACAACGGGTTCATTTAGTGACTGTTCAAAGTTACAAAGTGACTTAAGGCCCCTTTTCACTCTTAACAACCATTGCAGTCTCTCATTGCAGACATTTGGCAACTGACTCCTATTTACGACGGTCGCAGCATCCAGGATCGCAGGATTCCCCTTTTGTGACCTTCTGACAAGCAAATGGGGGTGCCAGATTCACTTAACAACCGTGATACTACGCTGAAAGCTGCATTGATTCACTTAACAACTGTGGCAAGGATCGTAAATCAGGGCAAAACTCAGTTAGCAAATGTCTTGCTGAGCAACAGACGTTTGGGTCGTAAGTTGAGGACTGCCGGTATTTCCTGCAAGCCATTTTTCCTTTTGCGTATGTAAGAATGTTAAGAAAGCTTAATCCCATTTGCCCCTTGAGAGGATGCTGGCCAAACTCTGGTTTGTCGTGTATTTTGGCAACTTATGAAAAAAAAAAAACTTCAGCTCCCAGGAACGAACAGTTAGGTATTTGTTCAGAGTGTGAGGAACAGACCCACAAATTGGGACAGCACTGACGTGATTTTGCACACAACCACGTTGTCCCATCCCATTTGCTATGGCTCGTCGTGCTCCTCTCGGTTGCCTTCCTGACGCAGCTGCCTCGAGCAAGCTAGTTTAAAGGCAGTTAAAAGGTGGTTTACCCACA